TCTCTTGGTCCAGAAGTTTTTAGCTTGAAGTAATTTGCTAAAATTTGTAATAAAACTGAAACGAACAGGTTAAATTAAATCATTTCCTGAATGAAATACTAGTTTATAATAATTTTAAATTTCATTTCTTTCCTTTTCAAAACCCCACGATATATTATGTTTCAGGAATCCAATGACCACGCCGGATTACTACTCTGTCTGTGCAGTGAAAGATGGCGTAACAATCTATTGCTGTTATGAGGCCTTAAAATAATACTCTTCAACATCTACAACAATACCTAAATAGTGATCAATTATCATGCAACAATTTTTACTATTCAAACATTTCGTTTGATGCTTTTTGTTTTAAATTTACTTAGTGATCTAAATCAAGATAAACTGATACCAACCAGAATGAACTGATCGACATAAATTTACTGAATCTATTAGTAATGATAATCAGAAATTAAAGATTACCTTTCAATAAAAGTTCATTTGGATAATAATCAATATAGATTCAACAATGATTGAAGGAATTATGAAGAAATACATAGTTGGTATCAGCTTATTCTAAGCATTTTAACTGATTTAAATTGAATTTTAATATAAAAAATATTTTGATATTTATTTGCTATAATGAAATTTTATAATAAACTCATGAAAATCCTTTGCAGAATGAAGAACGAATAAAAGAACAATTTATTCAAATTATAATCTGGCAAGTTTGATTATATTTCTTTGTATTAATATGATTATATATTTGTACTCTTGTCTTTTGTCCCTTCAAACAATAATTTAATTATTTTATTTCAGAAGTAATAAATACCATTATTTACAATTTTTTCATTAATTAGAACTTATTGTTTTCATTTTTTTCAGTGTACTTTAAGCTTTTCATCAAATTTCGATCAATTAAATAAACAATTAGTTGAATCACTAGCATAATAATATGTTCATGAAATGTTCGAAATGATAAACAGAGATTTGACAACATGAAATAATCAAAGAATATGAGAATTCAATGAGAAGATTAGAAAAGTCAACTTCTTTCACGCATCCGAATATATTCTTTTATTGAAAGCCTTGAATTCAAATTTAGTAAAGAAAAATGAATATTTAAGGCAAATGAATTTTTCTCGCTTTTTTTGCTTCTTACAAAGCATATCAATTTTACAGGGAACAATTTTGAAAATGAACTATTTAAATTGTTTAAACAGCTGAACTCAGACGTGTGTATTTCTCCCATCTAATGCACTTTTTGACAAACAGAAAGAATGTTTGAATTATCAGCCTCTGTGATTATTATTTCGAAAAGCTATTACATCATAATCAAATGATTTCAACCGTTGTGCAAAAAATTTTACTCCTTTTACAATCATTAAGGACACCCATTCCACAATTCAGTATTAAGCCTTGAATTCAAATTCAGTTAAGATGATCCGGTTCTAAAGACTTTCCAATGCTCAATTATTGGAATATGAAAGCAGTTTAATTTGATACTCCAGTAATTTTATTTGCAACACTTTAAGTTTAAAATATTTTGCAATAGTTTTAGTATTCAACTTTTCTATAAACCGATCCCAATGATTTTTAATTGCATTAATATTGCAACAAGAACTGTCACTCTTCCTTGATTATTAGTAAAAATCGATAGAAGACTGTGATTTTTTTATTTCAGTTATTTTTTTCATTTTAATTCCAAGAAGACAACTTCGTCGCAAAGTACAATTTCTGTTTGGAAATAAGCATAGATTTTGTCTATCCCACTCGTTTCTAATCCTTCCACGCTATTGCTTGAGAAATTTTTGCAAAATAGAGCAACTATCTAATGTATATGAAAACTTGAAAATAAATCTTATTTTTATCTTATATCTAAACAAAAGGCCTAATTTCACTACCTTCCAATTAATTCAATTAATTAATTAATAGCAGCACGTCCGACTCCACGTTGGGGATAGTTTTTATTTTGTGCAGAACTGTACCTTATAACAAGATTAAAAAAGCATGATAATTTTCAATCTGGAGTAAATGCAATGTATAGTTAAAGTACCGCCTTGCTACCTTGCATTTATCTTTACCTAAATTGGCGTCCTTGATGAAAAGGAAAAACTGAAATACTTCTAAATCTGCATAAAATATAAAACGCAATTTATTTCAATCCGCAATAAGGGGAGTAATTTCGGCATGATAAATATGCGCAGACAACGATACATAGCAAGAAAGTCAAACACACACACACAAGCATAAAAGGTACAATTTTACGGTAAAAGTTGTGCGCAGAAATCGGAATGCAGACACATCGGCAGAACTAATCGTTGAAAATAATATTGTTAAAACAATTTTTCACTGTAAAACGAACATTTCGATAACGAATTTCGATAACGAACTGTAGTATCCTTTTAAATTCAGTACCACCAACGCAATTCGTCTGCAGCTATTCATGTTAACCCGTAAACATGACAGGTCTTTACAATAAGATACAACAAACCACCTATCGGATTATTGGAACGATAGAATAATCATTCTACTGATAACAAGCACTGCTTTATTATTCATTGCATGACATGCAACTATATTTTATTGTCAGAATGTCTATACCATTGAAAACAACTGACACAAGCAAGACTTCACAATGAATATGCCATTTCAGTGATATCTCTTGCAATTGCCTTTCCAGATTCATCTACCACGGCATCTTTAATTCGATTCATTATTCCAATGATATCCCGTCCTTTGGCCAGCTAAAACTGCTTGAAAAAATACATAAAGTTCAAGAAAACAATAATTATGTTCAAGCGTAGAAGAAAGAACTTTCACTAACTTGAATAACAGCAACATCGCCCCACATCAATGTTACGATTGCTTGAAGAAGTCGTATTAAAGCTATTTGATTGAAATCACCGAAACTGACGATATTTTCGATGACCTAAATAATGTAATATTTCTTCCAATTCTGTTCAACATCAAACAGACATCTCACGATGTGAAATTAGGAAATTAATGAAGAAATAGCAAAAAGTTACTTTTTCCAAAATGATATTTAACACTTCTTTCCAACAGAATAATTTCTTATTGATTTTATTCATAAGAAAGATTAAATAAAAATCCTAAAATCATAAACTTGAATTCGAGTTATATGAGACCTGAATAATAGCTCGTAAGGCATCTTCTCGTGGACCAAGTTCAGCTATCTTTCCAGATTCTGTATGGCGTAACAAAATCAACGCCCAATTTGCTAAGGCTGTTGTTGCCGCAAGCTGGAAATCATGTTTTTCATACTGATATAATCAAAAGCAGTGATTACCGGCTGGCATCACTATTAATTTCTTTCCGAAATGACGCTATAAGATCAGCAGAATAAGAAAGTTGGGAGCTGCGGTAAAAGAATAACTATTGTAAACGTGAGTAAAAATTTTCGACAGACGTACTTGCAAGGCATGCTTTGTACTATTCAACTGCGCTGCAACGTACTTAACCGTTATGTTCACATCATGAATCAGCATTGAACGACCCCACTGATGCATAGCAGCATTGGCCATCGCTCGACATGCCAAAATACGAATTGGGTCAGAATTCGCGCTTACCTGTAATTTTTAATAATAAGATAGATTTAATAATAAGATAGATTACGATTGAGCCATATTTGGACAACGTAGAGAACTGAACGAGTAAATGTAAAATGTCACGTTAATCACTGCAAATGTTACCAGTTCATATAATATCGCCATCACCATTTTTCCATTATTTGAAAACTTACTAAAAAATTAGTCAATCGCTGGATTGTTTGAAAACCTCTGGGAGACTTTTCGCCTTCTGCATCCAAGGAACAATAAATTCTATTCAGTGTACGATTCAAAAGTGCTAGACGGAATACATCCATTATAGGAATAATTGTATCTGAAATCAATTCCATCATGCATATTACAAGTAAATATTTCATATTTCCGGAAAGAAAAGCTTGCTAAACTCAATAGATTTAATGAAATTATAATATTCAACCGAACTTAAAAGGATAGAATTAAATGAAATACCGATTAAGTGGCATAAGTTTTTGCCTTAGACTCCTTAAGAAATGATGGGCTTAGTCCACATTATTCAAAAAAAATATCAAGGAATATGTATAATGGCTTAGAATTGATGGATGATCGAAACCTTCTTTTTCAAACGCCACACAAAGCAAATTATGTTCTTTTGCGTCCGTTTCCAAATTATGACATATGTACATAATAGATATAAGGATCACAAATATTTAAAACTTCTTTTAAAAACAAAAAAAACAATGAAGTTACGAACCCATATCCCATCCAAAACCTGTATCAATTGCAGAGACATGAATATCTCGTGGGTCGTATGTCGAGGTTTTTAAAATATCTTCTAAAGCGCACAACTGAAATGATTAACCTATTAACAGCACAAAAATAACTTAAAATAGTTTTTTAACTTTTAAAATTTACTCGGACATTTTTGGTAAATATCATAAAACATAATCTTTCCTATAAATATCATAAAACACAATCTCAAATCACTTTTTTCGAAATCCTTACGCAGTTATCTTTCATCACTGGCTTTCGTAATTGTTCATTAGAGCAAACTATGATGATAATATAAATTTCTGTGATATGATCTTTAGTATATTTAGACTAAAGTTTGTTCATTGTCTCTTTAGCACAGTATATATATAAAGAACAGGATTCAAATAAATATTGAAAAGAATAGTCTTGTTTCTGTAGTTAAAATTCCCACTTCCAGATTCCTTTCTGTGCAAAAAATAAATATATAAAACGTAACCTGCTCCTCGTTTAACTTATATTTACTTTGCATCTCATTTAACTCCGTGAGCTTTATAATTGCTTTAGTTGAAGCTTGTTCGATACCAAATTGATAGAAATGGGGTAGTGGGACAAGTTCACTGCGTGGTCGTTTTTTATCTGTAAATAATTAAGAAAATACAATAAATAAATTTACGAACATATTGCTTGTTAAACCCCCCGTAATTTTATATGATTTGTTCTTTGCTCTATTATCTTCCGGACTCATTGAAATCACACATATTAACGGCTGTGACATGTTTAAAAATGATTTTACCAAAAAAAGGAAAATAAAATTCACCGATCGGCAAACGAACATTTGACATCGTTGTAGTAGAATTTGAAATATATGCATTTCCACCAGTGAAAGGATCTGCTACAGATCTTACGCCATTTGAAGTTTGACGATTTCCGGTTGCACCAGGGACATAACGCCCTTCTAAAATTCAGATAACAACTTTTCTTTAGAAAAGCTCAAAAATTTTACACATAGAGAACTTCTTTTATTGAGAAGAAATTTATTAAATATCCAAGCACTTCCAACCTGTGAAAGGATCAGTGAAATTGCCACTGCTAACGCTGTCAAATGTCCCTGGAACTTGAAGCCGAAGAAGCGTAGAAACCTGAGATTTAAGAAATTATTATTAGTTGTCAGCATTGTCAATACTTCAAAAGGCTGAAACGAACTTTCTCTAAAAACTTTATGGGAAGATTATGTTTTTCAATAAAACGTTGCGCTGCCCAGTTTGCATCTTCACCCACGTTGTACGGTAATTTCAAAACTCGCCCATCTTCGGTTGTTACATCAAATACATAATCCCATTCCTGAAAAAATTCCAAAAATTAAAGAGACATCTTGCAGAATGCTTCTACGGAAAGATTCACGAGAGTACCAGTAATAGTGCGCTTTGATTCAATATTATCATCAGACTTAATTATTCTGATACGGTAACTTTAAGTTCTCTATAATTTAGAATTTTTCTGCTTTCCGTATAAATAGAATTTGAAATTTCCCTTTCCATCCACGAGAACTTTTTGAGCCGACTGTGATTGGGTGATTTTCTTGTTAGTTGCTTGACGTGCTTCTGGTATATTCTCGATAATATATTGCGCAACTTCATTCATATATGATGCAGGTAAGTTGTTCTCCTAAAAATTAAAATTTAAGTTACACTACACTCATATGAAATGCGCTAAAAGTTAAAATTTAAGTTACACTACTCCTACATGAAGTGTAAAATAAAATTCAGCAATCAAGCTACACAGTGGAACAAAAAGAAACGGCAAACCGTCAAAAACGTTTGTGCAGCAACATATGGATCTGATCCTTTTTTATATCGTAACTCGATATGTGGTTCTCCGTCATTCAATGCTACTTTGATTTTAACTATTTCATTCTGCTAAAAACCACAAATTAATATGGCAAAAAAATATGAAATGAAAACAAATCTTGGTTGCAAAAATAAATGTATTTTAAATGTTTTTTTACAATTCTTCAAAAAAATGTAGCGCTAATGCAGCGAATTTCGAGACCACATGATGCCAATTAATCCGTTATATCTTAATATCTGTTTGAATTAATATCGAAGCATTGGCTCAAATTCGACCTGAGCAACCAGAATTGCTTCTCCTTCGGCAATTTTCTTAGCAACAGCACACTGGAATGATCCTGTCGTATTAGCATCTGCTTTTCGATTTGCAACAGTAGAGAAAATATAAATGTTGCCATCACTGAAATGAATCGACATTATGGAAATGCTAGCGAACGCAATTACTTTACTAAACTGGTAAGCAAATCACAGTTTAACTATAAATATCCCAATTGAATCCAAAAGAAGATTTTTGTTTTGGCCTAGAATTGCTTCACGATTGCTAACATCAACTTACTCAGCACCAACTGCGATGTCACCATTTTTTAGGAAAGTAAGGGACCAAAGACTTTGCGCTGGTGTCCTGATCAATTGTTTGTGAGTCAATGAACCATCATCACTCACATCCCATATTTCCAAGAAACCACCTTCACCAGAATTAGCCATTAAATTATTCCCTGATACGTTAGCATATGCCAAACTGAAACAAAAAATTTTTTGGTAATTTCGATTTGCAACAGTAGAGAAAATATAAATGTTGCCATTACTGAAATGAATCGACATTATGGAAAGCTAACGAACGCAACTACTGAAAATAGAACACAATTAGCCATAAGTGATGAAAGAAGACGAACAAATCCGCTAAAATTTCATTACGTTTCACGGTGGAGGATATGAAAGCCATGTTCATTGTTGGCTTTCCTCCGAATTTCACAAACTAGTATTCATTGATGTTCTCAGGATATAAAAAATAATGTATTCTCATAAAACACCTGTATATATATTCTCCACCTAAGGAACTATATCTTTGGAGGCAAACACCAGAATCGATATCCCATAAACGAATCGTGAAATCATTGGCAGCCGAGAGAAATTTATGCTTCGATAATACTGCAAGGGATCGCACAACATCTTCGTGACCTGAAAAAAATAAAGAATGTTTTAAAATGTAACAGACATTATTCTGGTTTTCTGAGCCTTAATTTCAGATTTAACAGGTCAAAAATTATGAAGGAATATTCCAAATACAAAATAAAAATAGCGATCAAATTGGACTGAGTAGAAAAATTTAATGGTTAGCACCATATGTCACTTCCTGACATATCACAGATGGACCACTTTTACTTTAAATTAAAATCTATACAGCAAAAAAAATGTTAGATTTAAACGAACCACAAAATGAGTTTACTTCACTGTCACCTTTCCAAAATTTAATTGTCAAATCCGCTGAACCAGTGAGATAAAAGTCGGGTCGTTCAGGTATGGACGCGACCGCCCAAACAGATAATCTATGACCCACTAAACATAATGCCTGCAAGAAATAGAATAAAAATTAAAGATTCTAACAGAAATAACAACATGTATAAATCTTGCTTGGAGAATTCTAGTAACATTTGAATTTACTCCGTGTTTCGCTATTTGTATAGGTCACAACTCGGTAGATGGGGAAGCAGTTAAAATTCAATAGCGTAACAGTTAAAGCATATCCTGAAATAAGTACATGAACGAGAAAACATACATTAAAATCCGAACCGCTAATGATTTCCTGAACTGGCCAAATTATTGCATTATTATCCCAGGAACCACTCATTAATTTTCCATTTTCAGCATCAACATGTAGCGTACAAACTAAAAATCTGCATTATTCTCACCATTTTTAAAATCGCTAATTCGTTCTCTTCCCTATCTTTATTTTCTTCTTTCTCTCCCTTGCTTATTCATGTTGCAATTCAAAAAAGGGGAAAGAAAACTTATCCCTAGTTTGACTTAAACAAAATTTGATTAATTTCAACAAATTAATAGCGCTAACAAATTAATAGCACTTTATTAACACTAACAACTAAGAGCGGAAGGAGAACGGAACAAACCATTCATTTTGTGCTCATGTAATATACGTATCGGTTTATCGTTATCGGCTGTATATGCTGCAATTGAGCCATCTTTACGACCAGCAAAAATTAACCATCCATATCTTGGACACAGATAAAATGCTACTGCATTAACAGCTAATCTTTCAACATTTGTTAATGATATGTCCTCCACGTAACGATTATTCCTGAAAACAATGAGTTAATAGGAAAAAATCTGAAATAGTTTTGTTCCCCTTTCCAATTGCTTCACTTTTAAATAAGTGTCGATTCAGACCAAAGATTAAATGTACATATTATACAGATTCACCTCTAAGTAATTTTCTGAAAGTAGATTTTAATCATCACTTTCAAATCCGTACTTACAAAATTATGATTGTTTTACCCATACCGTATTAACATATCCATGAAGCTGATTATTTTACCAGTTTGACACTTGAATATTTAAACATTCAAATGCCTTGGTTGCCAAAAAATTATTTTTTGGTATATATATTAAAAGAAGTAGTAATCGCTTATTTTAAGATGCATATACACTAATAGTGAGGTGTACTTGAATTGCAAGTTATTTATTCATTATTCTCCAGTGTGTGCTTTGGTTTTCTATCATTGAATGCTTGAATTATATACTGATGCTAAGAACAAAACTAAGAACTAAGAACAAAACATTTTTAATACAAAGTATATTACTGACTATTAACAATTAATGAAATATGTAGTCAGTTATTCTTACTGAATATGTTAATTATGCAACATGCATTTTGCCATTCATCCATGGTTAAAAATTGACAAATTATACCATCAATTGCTAATTAGTCAGATAAAATAATGCTTTAGCAATCCACTACGAATTTTGGCTATCATATAATTGTTTATAATTATTGCTATTTGATTAATTTTATATATAAATGTATGAATACGACCTTTCTGAGAAAACTTTAACGCATTCATCACGACTACCGGAAATTATTTGTCCTAAATTGGTTGCAACAATACATTTTACATCGGAAAGATGGGCTGCAATAATGCCACTAAACTCATATTTTTCTCCACCTTCTTCGCGAACTTCCATCAATCTAAAAATTTTCAATAAATTCCGAAAAAAAATCACTCTTCTTGAGAAGCTCTCGTTTTAATAAAAACAGTAAAACTGATGAATACTGAAATAATCATTAATAAATTAGAAAAATTTAACTAAGCAATTAAAGATTGCAAAAATCTTCAAATTAACGAAGTAATACGACTTCGCATTACTTAAATTTATTATTAGGTTTATTAATTAATTTATGAATTTAAAAATCCTGATGACTAATCCAGTAGCGAATCCGTTTTCTCTAAATTCACATAAACCTAACAGGCTGTCAAACCTTCACAAGAATTTACAAGTTAAAGAAAGCACCTAGTAACAGTTCAGAGGAAAGAAAATACGGTCGGGCCAATATTTCCATGTTTCGGGGTGCGGGCTTAGTCGAGATTTCGACATGTTTGGAAGTATTGGGGATTGCTTCTGCATGTTTTATTCCATGGTGGAGTGGTGCTTCATGTTATGTTCCAGTTTTAGGTAATAGGTCAGCTTAGAAGATGATATAAAAGTGATAATAATTGGTTGGTCTAGGGTTAGGGAATGAGAAAGATAATTAATTTAAGGTTGCATTGAATATATGTGTGTCGATTTTTGTAAGTATTACTTAAAAGAATGAAATATAATGAATCAAATATTAATTGAGTTGAAATTGGGAAAATGAAGTACAAGCAAGTGATAGTATTAGAAGAGGGGGAGAATAATAAATTACGTGGGAAAAAAAGAACGAAATTAAAGGACAAAATTCAAAGTCTTTAACTGACGGAACTTGGGATATTATATCTTTGATGATTAATTATTTAGTAATTACTAAACCATTTTAGTAAGCTCTTGGACATGAATAATTTGAAGTGTATAAGATTTGTTTTCCAGTTCCGTTTGAATTTTTTAAATTGTTAAAGGGTTTATTATTGCATAATTGCAATATTTTCCAGATTTGCATTATAGATATGGAGACCATTTTGGAAACTCAGCGACGTCTGCATGAAGAACGAGATCGCCTGATTGATAGTATGACCAAAGAATATCTTCATGAACGCAAATCTGTTAGTGTGTTTGCTTTGCCTTGTAATTTGAGTATGGATCATCTCTACACTAAAGACGTGATTAGTTTATTGTGCTCCAAAATTCGGATCTGAATTGCCCCTAATTCTTTTTCGGCAACACTTATTGATTCTTTTCTCTTTTTTTTTTGAAATATTTTAGAGTTTTCGAAGCATTTTCTGAAATAAAATTATTTTGGCCTATCTTACTCAAGTTAATGGCGCTTTATTTTCAGCATAAAGAGAAAGTAAATGGTGATCACCGCGTACGACGTCTTGTTGATGTAAGTTTCTTTTAGTCAAATTTGTCTAAAAAGATTGGTTGTCTAATCAAGGTCCAATAGTTCGATTCGCGTACTAAAATCTTAAATCTTTCAACATTTATTTTCTATCTATTTATTTATTTATCACCTATTTGTTTTTTACTTCTTTTAGTTTAGTTGAAAGCTATTTTCTTTGTTTTGGTCAACTACAGTATAAATTTATCTGTTTTTTGTTTTTAGCGATATCATGAAATTACGAAAAAATTGCGCCTGATATATGAAGATGATGATATGTCACGCAAATTGGAATTACGTGCTATTGCTGGTCCAAATGAGTTTGCGGAGTTTTACTCACGTCTAAAATCGTTAAAAGATGCACACAGAAGAAATCCAGATGAGGTCTGTTTTAGTATCTGGAAACTTTGATAGAGATATCAAATATGTTTAGTAAAATCATACAGCTATCAAATATTATTGGAGTCAGTATCATTTTTCGTGCTGAGATTTCTATCACCTCATGGTTCTACCATAATTTCCCAACTCTATAATTTCAAAATGCCATCGGTCATCGAAATCGGATTCAAACTATTCACATCTCGAAGTAATGTGTGTGCCGAGGATATTTGAAATAGTACATGTTCCGTAACGTTCTAATCTCTTTTTTCATAGAACTTTGTAAATTCCTTACAGATTGCCATACCGTTAAGTTTGGAATTTCAAAAGATGAATGAAGCTATCGAAAATATAGAATTAGCTGAAAAAGATGTGATCGAGTTTACCGACGAAGAAGGCTATGGAAGATTTCTGGATTTACATACTCTTTACGACAAATATATTAACATCAAAGGAGTAAAGGTTTGCCACTTTTCGGCTGTTTGATGAATTACCATAATTTAATCCTCATTCTTTTTTGACACTCCTACTTTTCCTCATAGTGTTCAAGTCGAATTTCGCTAGGAATTTTATCCATCTCATCCTAGGAATTTTATTATCTTATCATCTGAAAAGGGAATATTGACTATTTATTGAACCATGATAATGAATAGCTGTGCTATGCACTGCTCGAGCGAATTGAATGAAACACGGAATAATTATTGGCAGCCCAATGACCACAACTAAATTAGTTATTATTCGATGACCACAAGTGGAGGTTACATCTTACAAATCAGATTTAAAATATGGAAAGAAACATCCTGTAAGCGTATAGCTTTCATACTGCTTTTCCCCATGTTTTGCTCTATCTGCATCTGCGTTGTAAGTTAATGAGTTCAGATTTTAAATAATTAGACCAATATAAATTTTTTAAATTAACTCTGTAATTAAGGTTAACTCTGTAATTAAGGTATGTACGCATGGCAAGTGAAGTTTTTCGGCATAAGAGGGATGATTTTGGACTGCCATTGTTCCTAGAATATAACCACTTTTCTGTTCTAATTTGCATTTTGTCGGTCGTTCTATTTTATTTCATGTTTCAGAGAATGGATTATCTGGCATTCTTGAGCAACTTTGATCGTTTTGTTGATATTCCAATGAGCTCAAAGAAAACTGGCAGCTACCGTGAATACCTTGGCTCTCTGAAAGAATATCTTATTACTTTTCTCGCAAGGACTCGACCTCTGCTTAATGTGGATGATGAATTTGAGAAAACTGACGCTGAATTTGATAAGAAATGGGAGGAAGGTACGTCGGTTTATCATTTTTAAAATTCTCTCGCTTAAAAAAATGCTGAGGTATTTATTTGTTTGGCTGATACCTTTTAATTTTCAAGAAAATAATGCATTTAAATAGTAAGAAGAAGTATGTAGTTCATTATTCAGGAACAGTCTCAGGATGGAGTCGAGATCAGCATAGTGCGTTGGCGCATTCTGGCGCTTACTTGGATCTTTCATCATTCGAAACAGCTACAGATTTAGAAGCACTTGGACTTGATCGTCTGAAATCTGCGCTTGTTGCGCTTGGTTTAAAATGTGGCGGGTTTGTCGAATTTAATTTAGACATTAAGATTTCGTTCGGTGAATTTCGAATTTCATATGTCGACCGCCAAAGTATATTTCGCGAATTGATTTCGAAATTAAAATCGGTTGATTCACTTGAAAGATTGTTGATTTAATGTAATAATTTTCAAAATTAGTACCACTTTTAGTACGCTGAAGGAAAGGGCAGAACGACTATTTGCAACTAGAGGACATAAATTGAGTGAAATGGAGAAGACGGCATTAGCAAAACGTCAGGATATGGATCAGAAAGAACAGTTCAAATTGCACCAAATAGCACGACTGGAAGCATACATTCAACGGCAAGATACTTGCTTATATGTTTTGATGTCTTGTTTAAGATTGCTGTAAATATCAGTAACTTCTTACAAATAGTTTCGGCGGAAAACATTAACTAGTAACAATACGCTGGCTAAAACAATTTGGGAATAGAGTGAAACGTTAGCTGAAAATAATACGTGAACAATAAACTTGATGAATTGGTTATACAAAAGAACAAAAATTGTTTTTGAATGCATAAAAATTTAAGAAAAATGTTTTATTAACAGATTAGGAGCGTGCAAAATTTTGACAAAATAGTTCGTTCAAACTTTTTTGTCACTCATTTGTATACTAAAAAGTTGTTTAAATTCATCTTATACTTTCATTTATCGCATTTACTTAATGAAAAGTTGTCAGGTAGCAAAAAAGTCCAGTATTATTAATGTCCTTAGAAATAGGAAGTGGTCAAATGTATCATTCTGGAAAACATTTACCTTCCTGTCAATAAGAATCGGCGTACTATTAAGGGTATAGTTTAATTTCTGTTGGCAAAATCAACAGAAAATAATTTTGATGAATATAACACGTCATCCATCCCATTACAGATGGATGATTTACATCGCTAAGCCGAGTTCAGGAAGACGATTACTTGGCTGATCCTCGAGATTAGAGTAGGAAGGGTACTAAGTCCTGATAAAGAGGAGCCTAAATTATTATGGAGACTTGAGATTAACCGAACTCGCTCACTATAGCACTTCAGTAACATGTGCTTAGACCAGGTCATGCTGATAATTCATTGTTTCCAGGTTTAATATGGGAAGTAATAAAGAAAATGATTTTCAGATTATCATCTCTATTGAACGATGAACGAGAAGCTAGCAAAGAAAATGTCGAAAGAAAGCAAGCACGAGGTATCGGTGAAAATGTGGAAGAAGAGGAAGACATAAACGATATGTCCGATGATGATGAGGATGATAGCATTCCATATAATCCAAAAAATTTACCGTTGGGATGGGATGGTAAACCAATTCCATATTGGTTGTACAAGTTGCATGGCCTCAACATATCGTTCCCATGTGAAATTTGCGGCAATCAAGTTTACAAAGGACCGAAGGCATTTCAACGACACTTTAATGTATGTCAGCTTCATACACTGACTCCTTTCCTTGCTAATTTGTTCAGTTTTAAAAGAAAAGTATTGAATTCTTCAGTGACTTATTCTATGCAGAAACATAAGTAAAAAAAATGACCGCTGATTCTAGCGCGCTTGCTTTTTTTCTGTTTAATTGATTTCTTAAGGCGTTCAGTCACTGTTCTATCTTATTTTAATAAATACCAAATGGGTAAGTATTGGAAAGATTATCCCTTTACGGCCAGCTCTTATCACGTAGCTCTTACTAAGGTTTTTTTGATTTGAAAATTCGAAAATTTCATGCAACTTGTCATTCCTTCAAATTTAGGAGTGGCGTCATTCGCATGGCATGCGTTGTCTTGGAATCCCGAATACGGCACATTTTGCCAATATTACGAAAATTTCTGATGCTGTCGAACTTTGGGGAAAAATACGACGACAAAAAGAATCGTTGAAGTGGAATCCTGAACATGATGAAGAATTTGAGGATTCCGCAGGGAATGTCGTCAATAAGCGAACATTCGAAGATCTTAAAAGACAAGGACTTTTGTGATTACAGCATTTTAATTTCCGCTATTAAAATAATGCCCTCTAATTGTTGTTGCACTTCATAATAATTAAATAGACATGACTAATTCCTTTCGGAAAATAGTTTAGCGGACCAAATTGTTACGATTTTCATCAAGGTGGAGACTATATGGACCACTGCAAACAGAGTTTGCAGTGTTCTGCACACTTAATTAACATCAGCGTTATGAAAGAGATACCAGAAGCTAAAGATGTTGGAATCATTCTTTTTTCACGTCTCTAACTGCCGTTCAAATTTTCCTTATGAAGATTTAACTTATTTTAATTTCATTACATCAAAGTGTTCTCCATTTCGTCCGTAAATTGTTTTCCCGTTTTTTTTTTTTGATTTCAACATGAATAAATTTGATCGGTTTAAGGGCTGGTACGTAAGTGGCTTTAGACAGAAATTTAGATTCTGCAGCTTCAAATTGGTATTCCTGACGCACTTACAAAACGGAAACTGTCTAAATATAATCAGTAAAAGCGATTGTGGACAAATAAACTAAAAATCATTTTTCAAAGAACATTTGGTATTTCAAATCTCTGAATAGAAATAAGGATATGAACACAAATGCAAACAAAAACATCTGGACACGTTGACTGCCATATATCAATGAACCAACTGCTATGATTATGTTTGAAGCTCTTGTATTCTTTGGGGCGCATCAAAATCAACAAATCGTAAACATTTGCCACCGCCGGAAGTTCTCGAGCCGCCTCTACATTTTTCCCTCGGACGATTACGTTTTCCACGTCTTCTGGGTCGGTGAATTTTTGACGACATACCTTCCTCTGTGACATTTACTTCCTTAGGGTCACCGAATACATCGTCAATATCCTTGGACTGTTGGTGGTACGCTTGTTGGTCACTGCCAAGTAACGCTGTATCTGAAATTTGATTTGAAGCTAAAAGAACACGAAATAGGACTGAAACTAAGCTTTTTTCAGAAGGTTAAATGACCATCTAGATAATTATGAATAATAAGCTATGAATGCACTATTAGTTTGTTCTTTTCTCGGATTTCTCGGTATGAATTCATCTTTTTTGGCTCCAAACGAAGCTGGTATTCGTTTTTGTACAATATGATACACAAGCACTAAGTGCTCGTCAATCCCACAGAAAACTTCCTCAACCGGCGGTAAACGTCCGTCGAAATGCAACTGCTTCAACCGTTCCTCCGTTAAATACGCATTATTCCTAAAAAGGGACTGACAAGAGACTTGACTTTAATTGGAAAAAAATCTAAGAATAGCGGATCCAACACTCAGAAAAGAAAAATGTACAAAATAGTTCATTAGTGCCTCCGAACTATATGTCGAAAAGACAGCTAAAAGTCGTAATAGTGAAGAACACTTAAATAAATTACGTTTCATTTGTCGGGAGTAAAATTTGTAATTTGTTTGATTCCTTTCGAATCAGATAGTTTCCCGGTTGAAGAGATTCTAATTTCACGACTATCTTTTTCAACCACTGTGTTCGTTCCTCAGCACTGCAACATGATACAACAATTCATCAATACAATTAAACAGACAATATAGTGAAAAATAGAAGTCAATTCAACCAATTAATGGTTTCGATAAAATTACATCTAAAATTAATTTCAATTACTCTTACAAACACTTTTATAGATCACCACATTTAATTTGCAATTATCTCAATTTTACTTCTAAATTACTTTAAAATTTATTTTCCAAAGTGCGAAAGAGACACTAACAGCTTTCGCAGATCCGGTCGATTCGCAGTTAACATATTTTCATTGTAACGTTCCTTCTGCAGAAGATGCTGCTCCAAATAATGTATCCTACAAATAAATATACATGAATTTTTCTTATTGTAAAAAGTTAATTGAAAGTATGGGTTTTATATCAAAAATTCAAAACCAAATTCAATATCGCTATTCATAAAAAACATGCAAAGAAAGAACAGTTAAAATAAATTGAAGCAGTACCTTAAGCGAACAAGCTGTGAGGCACATTTTAATTTGCAACGAAAATAATCGTGTAGCCATTCTTCATCATTCATTCTCTGAATTGATAAGAAAAAGAGATGGGAAATTAATATAAAAGAATGGCTTCGCTATCTATCTTCAATTTACACAAAGTCCGCTTTCTCTGTAGTGGCTTGTTAATAACTTTTCTTCCTCTCCCAAAAATTTCTAAAATTCCAAACCTCAGCACCAAATTCGGCGGCATACTCGATTTTGTGAACAATACTCAGTTCATTCCCCATTCCGTCAATGCCGTCATTATTGGCTCGTATAATTAGATCTACATCTTGCATCCCGTCATGCCCAAGTGAAAATAATGTATAACGTTTACTGAGATCAGCACCATTAAATGAGGAAATATTAGAATTCTGGTCCACTCCTATAGTGAAGTAATTTTCAAAAAAATTCCTAACTATATTTGAATCAAATGTTCAGTTTCAAAAAGATCAATGAACTGAAAAATGGCATGCATTTACAAAATACCTTTCTCTTTAATCAATTTAAATTATCATAAAATTTCATCAGAAAATTGATTTTCATGTATTCAAAAAGATAATATTGACCTCCATAATCTCTTGTAATATCACTATCACTGGTGCCCATTTCATTCATAATATCACCAAGAATATCATCACAAACTCTGAAACCAACAATGTGAGAGAAATAATAACCCGGAACAAAGCAATGAGCAGTTCTTGTGTTAAATGAGATTTTATATTTTATATTTATATACATTGTAACAAAAAGCTGTTGAAATATATTATAATAAAGTGTGTAATATATCAATTTGAAAATCAGGAAACCAAAGTTTATAATAATCTGAGTATAATTGGAAAGAATAATCAGTCGAATTTGTATATTCCAGTAGATTTGATTAGACTAAATTTTTTTTCTTCAATGCCATAATTAAAAAAGAACTTACGGTGCAGCTGCAAAAGATGATGAGGATGATGGTATAGCAATGGTTTTTATATTTTGATTGTTATTCATTTCTTTTCTAACTGCATCTGATGAAAGATTTGCGGATGTCTGCTCGATACTATCAACTTCGTCAGCAATTATCATATTGCTTTTATTATCTGTTTCTTAAAAAAACGAAAAGACAAAATAATTACAGTATCTGCTATTAATTCCATGATAAGATAATCTGTTAATTCTTAGTTAAAATCGGATTAAATATATTTCATTAGGCTGCTTGGTTTATTTGCCAGGTCTTTAAAAAGGGATTTCCGAAAATGAAAAACAACTACTAATGTTTAGTATTTTTCAAACACTTTTTGATTTTAAAATTACTGTTTTCTCACGTCTGATTTCAAAAAGGAATTTATACCTTGCTTCACTTGATTAGTTTGCTCCAGTTTTGCACGATTAGCTCGCTGTCGCCCACCTGTTTTTGCTGACATTTTCTCATCCACTTCCTTTTTCAAATCACCGTAAATTGCTGATTTCACAGAAAATTTCAAATATCGTCGCCATAATGAAGGACCGTTGATTGACGTTTCGATGCATGGCTTGCTGACAAGACACACATTTTCAAAACGATCTAAGAAAAAACGAATGTTCAAAACTGGAAATTGAAAAAATTTTGTGATTTAACAGGTTTTCATAAAACCATTTTTTTTATTAGTAATCAACTCATTAAACATAAACAAATGAGGAATTGACGATGATATGAGCAATTGTTTATAACAAACTTTTAGCTTATACTTACTTGTTCTTTCACCAAAGCTTCGTTTCACTACAACCGGTATCAAGTATGTGGAGGAATCAGCGATCCACGGATTGCACAATATTTTCAAAGCACTACTTGAGCACATTACTACACGTACTCCATATTTGACGGCTAAATGCATCGCAAATTCATCTGATTCAAGTGGATACTAAAAACAAAAATCAAAATCCAATAATATCAGCAGACACGGAACTATTTTTTTCTTTAAAATAAACAGAAAGAGAATGAAATGTTCTTAAATCATATGGACCAATAAAAATCCTTAAAAATGAAGCAATAAAAAAATTGCATACTTTTGTTTTTTCCGTTGGTGGATATTGCGCCGATATATCTTCCACCAAACGATTAAATACAAAACGACGTCTTTCGTTTGGTAAAGCAATTTTCGGTATTTTACCACGATAGAGTATGACCTTTTTTGTTAAAATCGTTAATGCGTCAATTGTTAAATCCTTCATCTCTTCCTCATAGATTGGTGCACCATACTGACAGTGTAGTGATAACGCACGAGATCTTAATCGATCCTAAACACGCACAAATATATCAATATACGGTGAGATGAAAAATCTGACAATTATTTTATTAAACATGCTTTTTTTATACTTCTAAAATAACGCAACCAGCTGGGTCACAGATATTCCAAGACTTAATACTTTATATATAAAAACAGGCGTCAAATATAACATATTTACTCAAAAATAATTGCTTAATAAGAACTGACCTATCTTAAAGTTTTATTCCCATTTACTCAAAATTAGTTGCTTAATAGAACTGACTTGTCTTGAAGTTTTATTCACAAGTTGCTTCTATTTTTATAGACTACTCTGTAATTGACCATACTATATCAAACGCACATTATCATACCAAAATATAGGAGATAGCTCGTTGATTGCTGCAAGTATATACTGATTTTTTTCTAGAACGTAGGCTCTGTAAAACCAATTCTTGATATTTTATACGTTCATCCTTCAATTTTTCATCCATAATCTGCAAGCATATCAAAATCTTTGAATATGAAATGAGAAGTGTAAATTGGTATAATTTGACTTTTACATGTGAAATAAATCTTTTCATTCTTGTTTGATAGTTGAAGTTTGATAGTGTTTGATATTCATCCTATATTCAAATCTACGTCAGTTCCGTATTTAAAATCAAACGGGTCAAGTCTTTATATTTAAAACCAAATTTTGATATACAAAATTTCCTGCGCTAAACACTAAATTTATTGATATTGGCAGGTCAGTAATAAAAACTCGAAAAACATCCGCGTTGCATGCTTCAATGTTACAGAATACATTTTATAAAACCAAGTAACGAAGTATTAATTGAAAAATAAAAGAACAGATAATTGAGTGCATGCGTGTGTAAGTTGAATACCTACTCGCACTTCTTGTCGATTTTGTTGAAAGCGTGGCTGCGAATGATTAGCATTTAGAAAGTTCGCTACAATAGCCACGTAACGTTGATGATCAATTGGTCTTTGGACAAGCGAACGATATTTCCTCAATATTTTTGGAAATGGTGGTGCCCATGGCATATCTTTTCGGTCAATCTGAAAAAAAATAGCTCAAGGATACGAAGATAATATATGTTCGAGAAAAAAAAACTAGAATTTTTGCAAGTACAAATTGATAATTTGGTTAGAAAGAGAATTAAATTCTAATTCCGATTATTTCTTTCTAAAAGAATGCTGAAAAAAGCAGAACTGCATATTTGATTTCTAATTCAATTTTTTTTGAGGAGTGAAAATCGAGATATCATGAATTATACTTGAACTTTGTCGTCCTCTGATTTGGTATGAGCCTTTTCGCGTTGCTTTTCAATATACTTTTGCAACGCTTCTTCTCTGAAAACAAAATAAAACTATATCAAAAGTCTCTATCTTCGTTCATAGTTAAATAAAATGAAATGTGTCACGGGTTTATAGACGCAAAGAAACAGAAACAAACATATAAACATATCCGACTTACTGATTTAAAATTTCTCGAATTTTTTTTTAACAAATTATTCCACTTTTTAAAAGAAAAGCGCAAAAGTTCAGATGATCACAATTTCATACAACGTATAAAAACAAATATGTATGCAAGTGAAATAGGGAATAAGCTGTGTTGTCTGTAAATAAAAAGAAACCTAAAACAGAAAAAGAAAAAAATTAAACCGCTAAAGAAATCATTTTTTCTTGTACTTACTTCGAATAACCCTGTTTGGCCAACTTATGAAGTGCAATGTTAGTTGGTTCTTTCGCCTCCCGTTTTCTTGATTTGCTAACTTTATGGCTTGTCCCTGGAGTACCAATTATGTCATCTTCTTTTCTCCATTTCCCCAATTTCTCGACACTTTCCAACTTCTCATCCTGCACACGTGAACCACAAACAGCGGTAATTCCTTGCCTTCTTTGGGAGAAATCTTTTGATGAGACCGATTCATTACTATTTGATTCATGAGTCCTTTGAAATTGATCCCCTTTGCTCGTTTCTTTGCCATGGTCAAAAAAATGAACAAAAAAAATTACCTTCTTTAGTTTGCAGCATTGACTATAGTTTGAAAGAGGAATCTCTTTCTTTTCATCACATTTTGATCGATAGAAAATAAATTAAGTTTTTGATCAGCTAAGCTTGATTTCAAATTATAATATATTGTGAATACGTATCAAAAATTGGAACTTGATGTTTGTTAATGTAACAGTGCAACTGCATGTGAGAGCAGCTAATAATTGACCTCATAGAAGTAGAGCAATTTTAGCAAGAATAAAGAAAAATCGAAATGGAATCAATTTGAAACTTATCACTGTTCAGTCACATTCTGTTCAACAAAACATAATGAAAACAGACAATAATGAAAACACACATGTCTGTTTTCATTATGACCGAACAGTGATAAGTTTCAAATTGATCAAATTGTCAGATGAATACTTATTAATATAAGTCTCTAGACTGATTAATAAGATTTGCAATACCAGCTATGGAATTCCCCATTTAACCTATCTATTCATCTGACAATTCATCAAGATGTATAACAGTAATAAGCCAAGAAACCTTCATTATCACGAAATCTTCCATTTTTCGACATTGACATCCAATACGGTGGACTGTTGATAAACAGAATCTCCTCTCCTTTCGTTTTTTCTAATATTTGTTCGTCACGACACCGATCACAAAATAACGCATTATGCGAAATAATGGTATTTAGCTCAGCATTTGGATTCAAGAATGGACAACATGAAGCAGCCTGTGAGCCGCGCCATTCTTCGCCCATTGACCTGAAAACAAAAATTAGACTGCACAAAAGAAACCAAATTAAATTTCAATAAAATTTATCAAAAAGCTAAAAAAACTTATTAGCAGATCCGTTCCGACAAATTCACGAAAAAATATTTCATCAAAATTCCGTAAATCATCCAAGTTTCTTGATTTCATGTATAATGAATTTAACAGTGTTCGGTAAATGATAAATGCCTTTTTGAGAATATAGTTTATTTACTTGATTTTACGCAAGTAATAAATTGCTAAAAGACTTCATTTCCATACTTATATGATTAAATTATATGCGAAACTTTGTAATAATGAATGGAAATGATGAAACAAAAAACTTCCTCAATCAGGGTATGCTACACTACGAAAACACGACCTCATGCCAACAGGAAAGAGATGAGCTGCGAAATTGGCATTGGTGTATGATGTCACGTACTATAAAACTTTGTTAATTGCAAATTAATGAAAGTTTCCAATTTTATATAATAATTAGAAGTTTCAGTGAAATCCAGAATTTCATTAATAATTCTTAGAAATTTTGAAATTTTTATCTTACGAACTTGTATAAAATTCGCAACATTTAAATGTATTTTTATTTTACTTCACAAATATTTTACTTGTAACTTTCGGAAGGCATACAATTTGTCGTGTCGTAATTGTCAAGTTTAATTTGATTTCGGTATCGATTAGCATTTGCTTTAAGCATCCATTTAGAAATTTAAAATTAAATTCCTTGCAAATTTTTTCACTTTTAAAATTCATTTGAAAAAGTTTATTTTGAAACATATTATGTCAAGAAGAATTAAAATTTTTTCATCAATGAACTTGCAAATATTTTTTGATTAAACAATTTTTGAAGTTAATTTTTGATTGAATCATGCTAAATGATCGAGTTTTAAACTATTTTAAAACTTTTAGGGTGGCTGTATGATTTTATAAATCTGAATTTTTCTCCTTGTTTTTCCTTCCTCTATCGCTCAACATTTCTTCCAAGAAACTTGTTCTAATATAGCGGAATATCAATTGATAGCATTTCTCTTATTTTGAAAAAATTTTTAATCTGGTAAAAAATTTAAAATAATGCATAAATAAAACATACTTAATACATTATTAAGCAAATCAGTATTTTTAGCTAATTAATTAACCAGCTAAATATTACATTCAGTTGAAATTACTTTCATCTATGATGATATTGATAAGGAATGATAATGAAAATTTTGCAAATTAATTATTTATTAATAATTGTCTCATATACAAACAAATTTCCTTCTCATTTTTATGAATTGTTGATGAGGGAGAATTTTATTTTTGATGAACTTGTTTTCTTCCTTCTTATCTTTCCTCTTTTTTCGAAATATGTATAAGTTTACATAACACTTGAAATAATTCATTTAATATTCGTTATTATAAATTATTAAAGAAATTTGTTTATATTATTGGTTATCATTAAAAAGCAAATATGAAATATTAGATTTTTTCCAAACCGTACATATATATTGTCTTTTCTAATGAAGTAATTATGTGATTATTTACAAGAAATGAATGGATAATTGAGTATTTCAGAAAATAATTAAAAATAAAAGAATGAGATAATCTTTGAAGGTAAATTGTTTGATAAGAATTATAGAAATTTGTGATTTAATTTTACTTTTCATTTACATCACCGCCACCCATTTCACGTGGCATTTAAGCTCTGATCATTATTGTCACCATTTGTCAACAAGAAAGAAAATTTTGAATTTAATCGGTAAAAAAAAAAAGGAAAGAAGAAAATGAAATAAGCATGCTTTGAATTGTTTATATTGAACAAGTTTCAATTAATTACAAAACAATTATTAGCTACACAATTATTTATTATATTACTAATTACTGTTGCTATAATATATCCATAAAAAAGGGAAAAAATGAAAAATTAAATTTTTAATTTGAAAAAAATGAGGAAAAAAGATTGTTTTAGAGGTAGAAAATTTTTTTTGAAATTTTTGACAAACTTTTTTTTGTTTAATTTCTTATCAATTTTCTGACAGCCAGTTAAAATAACAGCGATTTAATCATCACTAATTTAAAAAATCAACAAATAATTTATCGTACATTTTAAAACAAAAGCCCAATAATTAGTTTATTGTTTACCATAAAACCGAACATTATATTGTATCCTTATTAGATTAGAATAGAATCAAAATTTAAGTTGCTAAACTAATTGCTAATTATTAAACAAATTAATATATTATGTTTGAAAATTTCCAAAAATTTAACTAAAACGGAAAAATATTTTTACCGCACGATAATTAATATCTATTTGTAAATTCGTAAATTATTATTATGAAACTAAGTGTGTTGTAAAATATTAATTTATTAGTTGGAGCTCAATTTTGTATTTTTTCGTAATTAAAATTTATGCTAATTACTGATTTGTTACTAACGATATGACGTTGATATGAAGCAATTTAGCTATCGTTATTGCTTCTTTATTGGTGTTAATCATTATCGTTTATCATTAATCTGATTAATTATCTTATAACCGATTGAATCATTGGCCTTATGGATATTTCCCTTACAATCATTATTGCTACTAATTTCATTATCATCATCATATTGATCATTATCTTTTCAACAATTATCATAATTTTTTTTTGTCACATCAAAATGAGATATTTACATCATTTATTGTTAATTCTTTTGGTTTGAAACTTTTGAACATTTTACGGTTTAAATATATCATATCGAAAAGCTGAAGAGGAAATCAATAATTGTTTGATTACATTTCTTCCTCTTATCATTCATTTAATTAATTTTAATGGCATATTTTAGAAAACAAACAGTAAAGTATTATTTTTTATTTCTTTTCTTCTTTAGAAATATATAAATGAAATTATTACAACAATTATAAATATTTCCTTCATTTTAAGATATAAATAATATTATTAAATAAACTGAATTCTTTTATTCTTTTTTAATTATATTTTTTTTGAAAAACATAAATAAGAAGAAAGGTAAAAAAAAAAGAGGCTGTCAATAAGAAAGGTATGAACAAGTTTCAGAATAAAAGAAGTTAAAAAGGAAAAAATATATGAAAGAATTTTTAGGCAAAATAACGACGACAAATCATTCTGAAGGTAAGAAAAAGTAGGAATGAGAAGAACGAAGTAAAGTGATTAATTAACATTGATCATTTTTAATTCCATAAATATTTCTGAAGTGAAAAATAACTAAGAGAAGAAATTCTTATCTGTCGAAATATTTTGTTGAATTGGAAAAAAAGAGAAGTAAAGAAAAAGGAAGTGACGTAGCAAAAAAAGTTAACGTTAAATTTGAAATTCCAAAAAACCTTTTTGTTTCTAACAAATGAAAAATTCAGGTAAATAAACTACCTGTATAACAACACATTAAACTTCGCATCTATTATTAAATTGCACAAAAAAAAATGCACGTCGAAAATTGCACAAAAATTTGATTCAAAAAAAAGAAGGTAAAAAAATTTAAAATGAAAATAATTTGGCAACTTATCACAGTATAATACATTAATTTCTTAGTGCAATAATTTATATCAATTAATTTTTTTATTGTTTAAATTTGAAGCAAAAGCAAAAATGCTAATTGAAGCTGAAATTAAGAAATAATAAATTCAAATGATAATGACAACATTGATTGGAAATTTAACTAATTTCGCATAAAATTCTTTATTCGCATAGTATATATCGGTAAATTATTTGATTACAAATTATATTAATGAGACATTCATTAAATAAATATTAGTAATATGATAAATTCAACAATAAATTATAATTTTATGATTTCTGATAAATAATAATTACATCAAATGCTTAGATTTTAGTGATAAGACTTAAATGACTGCATTTATAAATAAAAATGCTCAATGAACACATTATAATTAGAATAATCATAATCTGATTAATTAGTTTATCTAATTATAATTGTCTATTATAGCTATATTTGGATAATTGTAATTAGATAAATAAATGCGCAATAATTCAAATTTCTCTTTTTTATATCACTGTCATGAAATAGTTCTATTCTGCAATGAATAATAAATAACGACGTCAGAATGAAATTTTCAGCCTTCGATTATTTCCAACAATAAATTATTTCTGTTGACTTACAATATCTTTTAGTTGATGATAACTCATTGTTAATCGATAATGATCAAATATTAAGATTGTCGTATGAATTTCAAAAATGAGTCATAAAATATGTATTTCTCCTTATATCGCACATGTTTATTGCATGTCGAAATTTGATCGAAGGAATATTTATACTCATTCATTCATGTAATTAGAAAAAAAATTAATTAGCGACATATTTTTAATTTAACTAATTAATCGGTTATTCTAAAATAATTATTAGCAAAAAATTTAAGCAATCGTAATTTGCATATTAAAATTATGTGAATTTTTCTCAAACAAACTGATTTATTTTGTATATTTCTTTTAGAAAAGGATATGATTGAATTATATATTTTATAGATTTATAATTCTTTTTTAATTTTATAATTTGAGCAATTATTAATTAAATGTTAACTTAATGATTGAAAGGTTTACTTGAAGGAATGAAATACATTCAATTATGCATAAATAATATTAATGAATATGAATACGATTTATTGAAAGATAGCTAATTATGCTAATTAGAGCAAATATTGTATTAATGGAAACTTCTGAGAAATTAAAAAAATTTTCAGATTATTTGATTTTATTTTAGAAAAAAGAACGATTTTCCTTTATTTCATTATACCCACATTCTTTTATAGTAATTATCAGATATTGTTTTAATAAATATTGACAGATCTTTTGATAACTAGACTTAGTCCAATTCAATTTCAGTTTAATTCCAACTGAATATAATATTTATCTGTTCACATACGTAATAATTTAATTATTTATCCTTTCTCTTTCTCTTTCTCTCTCTCTCTCATTAATTAATTTGCTTTATTTTTTGCTATATAAATTTTTTTAATTGAATTTCTTTTCAAATTTTTGAATTTTAAATTCAGTAACATGAAACTTTGCAAAATACCTTTTACACCTGCTTTCCGCAATTACTAATGATAAAATATCAAAACATATGCAATAGGGCAAAATAGCTTGAAATTATCACTTTGTAATTCAGGAATTATCATTTTTATGATTTGAAAGAAAGTGATAATTGAAGTTGTTTTTTATCTGTCACTAATGAATGGTTTATTGCATGAAATGATTGCCACCCATTAGGCATTTACTTTCTTTGGCTTTTGAAAGAAATTTTACAATTACTTTTAATATATACATATATGTACAGATTAATTGATTAATTATACTGAACATTGCATTTCGACAAGGTAGAAACATTTCAGCATTAAATAATTTGTCATTTTTCAGTATGAAACAAATACAGTAATAATTATTTTAAAACAAATTAAAACATTAAATAAGCTTATTCGAAATTAAAATGAAAAAGAAAATTAAATTTCTTACTTTTATTCTGAATTATATAAAATATTATTATTGCAATTATTAAATAAATAATTATCATTATTAAATAAATAAATTAATAAATAATTATAAAATAAATAATTATCAAATAAATAATAAATATCACCGAATATTCTCTCTAATATAAACTGTCAAAATATTTTTAAAAAAGTGCGCTATTTATGCGATACAAATAAAAATCGCATAAATTATATAATAATTGTTAAATACAGCGACAATGGCAATTATCCAACGAATTATTGGAACAATAAGCAAACAGTATAAAACAAGACTTTACAAATATTTGTGGTAATTCGAAATAATATAAAAATTATTATAATATATGACATCATCTCTATTATCATATTATCATTATCACCAACTTTCAAGGAATCAGTTTTCGAGAGAAAAAAAAACGGGAAGTTGTAAAATTTGTAAAATTAATACATCAACTTAATTAATAACAATAATTGACTGAAAACTTTTCCAAATTAAAAAAATAATTTCTTAATTTTATACAATAATATCATATGTTAGTATTCTGATAAATTTCTGGAATCTTATCAGTTAAATCTTTAATTAGAAATTAAAAGATCATCAACAATTTCTGGAATCCTATCAGTTAAATCTTTAAATAGAAATTAAAAGATCATCAACAATTTCTGGAATCTTATCAGTTAAATGTTCAATTAGAAGTTAAAAGATCATCGACAATTTTGTGGAATCTTAGTTAATTCTTTAATTAGAAGTTAAAAGATCACCGATGAGTATTTTTCGTAATTCATGAAATAGTCTTTATTTTGATTAACTAATATGTGACAGATATTTTTCTGACTTATTTTTAATTTCTTCATATTACTTTTTACATTAAACAATGAAATTAATAAATTGAAACAAATAATTTTTAGCATCGAAAATGATAAATAAATAATTTAAATATCGTTTGATTATATTTTAATTTTCAAAGTTACAAAAAAAAATGATCATTTTTTAATCAGAAATTATTCATGAAAATAGGAAAATAGATAAATAAATATTATCATTACCATCATTATCATATCATTATCTTTAATAATACTGAATGAATTATCTTTATCAATAGGCAAATCGTTGCAAAGAAATTATCATTTTGATAGCGAATGATTTATTTTTATAAAAATTGAAAATAAATGACAAGTTTTGAAGTTTTCGCTTTGATCATAGGAAGCATATATTTTCGTCGACCTTTAAACTGAAAATTTAATTATAAATAAATTTTGAATTGGAAAGTTTAAAATTGCAATATCTCAAAATGCTTAAAAATTCGATATGCTAATGTTGCATTCTTCATTTTGCATTTTTATAAAAATATAAAACAATAAAAAAGAATTATTGATTCATTAACTTTTTAGATTTTCTTAATTGACACCCGTTATCTGAAACAAAGATAATTTATTGATAAGTTAAATGATTGTTCATTTTACTTACGCAAATTCTTTCCTTTTTTTTCTTCTTTCTCGATTTTTTGCTCTCTTCGTTCTTTGATTTCGCCGATTCTTTATCAATTATACTTTCGTAATTTATTTATTTATTATTGCAATTGCAATTGCGATTGCGATTGCGATTGTGGTTGCGATTACGATTGTTGTTGTTATTGCGATTATAATTATATTTGAAAATTTGCGATGAATAAACAATTATGCTTACATCTTTCATTCTTCTTCTTTCCTTTTCATCGATGGATAATGATGATGATGATGATTCATTTGATAAATGAATCATCGATGAAAAAGGAATGATGAGTCATTAGATAAATGAATTAATAAAATAAAAATTTGAAATATTAATTATAATTTAATAAATTCAAATAATTTGTGCCAAAAAAAATTGAATAAAAAGAAGAAAGGAATACATTAAAAATTAGTAGAAGAAAATTTTCAAATAATTAATTTGAAATAAAAGAAAAATAATAAAATAAAAATAAGTAATTGTAATACAAAAAAAGTAAAAAGGAATGGTATGAAAGTAAGTAAGTAAGTAAGTGAATATAAATTGTGTTAACAACAGATGTTTTAACAACATTCCAATAATTCCATTCCATTTCATTTCATTTCATTTCATTTTAAACGTTGATAATTAGCGAACAGAAGAAAGTAATTTATGAAAATGACGTTTACAGGTGTTACCTATTTTAGATGACCTTTGTTAAAAGGGGAAAGAATGAGAGAGATGGGTGGAAAAGGTGAAAGGTAAGAAGAAATGGTTGTTTTTGATTTTAAAAACAAAAGTTTTAAAAAGGGTTTTGATCGTATTCGTTAGTCCATTGTAGTTATAAATGCTTCATTTCAATGTACCGTATATTTTTATATATATTCATATAGCAATACTTGATTATTTTATTTATATACTTACATTTAATATCATCTATTAACTTTTCTTATGCATATTTAATTAATTGACTGATTCATATTTATATAAAACTTTTATATGAGATAGAACATCATCAGTGAATAGCCGAATAGGATGAACGGATAGTTAGCCGGATGATGGACGAACAGATGAACAGGAATGGACAGATAAAAGGATGAAAAGGAGAAGGAGGAGGAGGAGGAGAAGGAAGGAAGATAAAGAGTTAAAACCAGCCTTCTTATCTTCGTTGAATCTCATCTTTCCCCCCTCTCCCTCACTCTCTCTTCTTTCTTTCCTTCCTGCTGCCATCTGTTCTAAACAAAGAATCTGAGTAAAGTGAAAGAATGCCGCCTTTATCATTGCTGTCACCAAGCAGCGAGCAATTTCTATTATCAATGACACTTATCTAACCGAATTGTCAAACTATTATCTAATAATTGCTTGAGAAATGTTTTTGAAATTTATCATTACAAAAATTATAAACTAAAGGATTGAAATTTCGAGATTAATAGTTAATTAACTATCAATCTTTGTTCATTAAGAAATTTCTCATTTCATTTTCTTTCATATTTTGCATAATTTATAATTAATTATCTTAAAAATTGAAATTGTTTCAAAATTTTAAGAAATAATTTTACTAAATTGTTAAAAATTGGTTGAAAATAATTTCATCATTTTTTGTTTTTTCAAAGTGATGCAAAGAAAAAACATGTTTAAAATTAAATTGCTTTTAAATTTAAAAATTGAAACCACTATATAATTTGAATAGTCCACAATTAATTAATCATTAAATTTGTGATCAAAGTTTCCTATCATTCTTTTTTCTTCCCACACCTTCATGCAACGCCTTTTTCGTTATCAAAAGACCGGTTAGTTCACCAATTATTTTTCAGCAAAACGAAGAAAATTTGTTGTAGAAGGAGGAAATAGTCGTACTATTACTAAAGCTAAGATAAGAAATATTTTTCCTCTATTACTTTTATTACTGCTAAATATTACGGATCGGAAAGTTTCAAAATAATCCGGAATAAACGTAACCGGTAATCGGTGCATTATAGTGTGCTATAATCATTGCGATACGTTTTATTACGCTTTTTCGTCGTCCCTTTTTCTTTTTTGTTTTGCTCCAAAAAAAACGGTGATAATTCGTGTTGATCGTTCCGAAAAGAAAAATGATCAAAACAATTTACATACAACAATTGCAGCTTATTTTACTACTCTTTACTGGTTTGTTTTAAAATTCTTATTTTTAATCTTTATTCTTTTTCTTTTTGCAAATTTCATTTCTTTTGATCTTTTAGGTAAGAATTAAAGGTAAAGGGTTAAAGGTGATAATTTAATTAAGACTTTTAATTTGATTATTATTTCATCTCTTTGTTTCTTGATTTAATGTGTGAAAAGTTAAATCTTCCAAATTTTACAAAAATTACTTGTTGTTTAAAAATGAAATAAAAACAAAGAAATAGAAGTTAATAATTAAATTCCTAAATTACTTTTAAAAATTATTTATAGTATTTTCATATTGTTGAAAATTTAAAATCTTCAGTAAAATTTCTAAATAATTTGTTTACTTATAAAAACTTTCCATCAGAAGTTTTTAGTTTTTCTTAGGCTTTTGAATTTTCACTCACTCAAAGAGATTATTAGAATATCTATTAGATAAAATATTTAGATTTTGAGGAAGAAAAAAATTTTTGTACATAAATTATTTATCAGAATTAAAAAGTAATATTAAAATGATATTCAGAATTATCAATCATTTTGAGATCAATTTAATTCTTTGCCTTTAAAGTATACAATTCTGGAATTAGTTGACAGAAATTTGATAATATTTAATTTTTTTTTCAATTCAAGAATTTTCAATTTGAGCTTATTAAAATTTTTAACTTATACTTTCAAATACTTTATTCAATCATTTGCTTATATAATATAACTCATATTCAAACATTATAATGCTATTCTTAAGCATCTATAATTTCGCTTCATGTCAAATCCAAAACTTCTTCTATGTTTTATTCTTTTCTTATCGAGCTAACCCGGATATCCTGGAGTATCCGTTTCAAATCGGGTTAAAGGGCAAATGTAAGACTATGAAAGAGAAAGGAACAAAAAGGAGCGAATTTAAACGATGATATATGGTTTAAATTTTGTTATATAGCAATATCAATCATCTGATAGAATAAAGTTGTGCTCCGCTTTCGTCTTTCGTTTCAAATTAGGTTGGCGACTAAAAAGATTCCCCCAATCAGTTAAAATTTCAAGTTTTTATAATTTAAAAATTTGAACACATTCTTATTGAGAATTTTAATTTTTCAATAAAATTTATTTTGCCTAATTTGTTTGTCTTATTAAATGATATGAAAAATTGTATTAAATGTATTAAAAGAACGAATAATTATTTAAGAATACGAATTATTGTTTGATAAGAGATTTAATTAGTATTGATATTAAGAATTTACCCAATTACAATAGCAAGTAATTAGCTAATCTTTTTTTCTCAATTCAATTAATAAGAATAATGAAGGAGAAGAATAATTGCAGAAGTTGTACCACAATTATCATCACCACAAACTAGCAAGTTTAAATGTTTGCCGAATGGTTGCTGTGATGAACATCAATGGTGCCGTTTTTGGGCATCAATCGGTGAATGTACGGCAAATCCGGATTGGATGAGTGAAAACTGTCAATTAGCGTGTAATACGTGTAATACTGCCATTCAAGGTTAAGCTTAAATTTCCCTTCAAATATATTTCATTTAAATTTAAATTAATTAGGAAAAATGCAACTTATACAGAATATTTCAATGGTAAAGCACGTAACATCAATTATAAACAAAATATTGAAATTAATAATCAAAATGTAAATAAATTAAAAAAGAAATTTCCTAAAAATTAAATAATAAAATTTAGGCTTATATTATTGTCTTTTATTTGAAATCGTTGAAAATTTGATTTTTTTTCAATCTGTCAACAAACTTAATATATTTTAATTATTTATCGCTCGTTTCTAATTTGAATATCTAATTTTGAATATATCTAATTTGAATATCGAATTTCTCTTCCTTCTTTCAATTCATATCCTTTCCTTTTGTTTTAGTTGTAAAAAAATCCTTTCTCGCCTTGTTCTGTCTTACAATAATACAATAATTGTCTTACAATAATTTATGAAAAATAATTATAATTTGTTGATTAGTAAAATCATTAAAAATAAGTTAGTGTAACATAATGATAATTTTAATTTACGATAAAGAATAAATCTGAAAATTTATAGTAAGTAAGCTTAAATGATTAAATTTGATATTAATCAATAATGAATGACTAATTAGTTGAAGTATTGGATATTTAGTAAAAAGCATATTATCCACTAATTTGTTTTATTATTTTCATTAATAAATATCACACAGAATCATTCTGTAATTTTACAAATGAATATTTGATAAAATGTATGAAAATTAAAATAAGTAATTAGCAAAATAAAAGCAAAATATAAAATATACAAATATTTTACATAAATAATTAATAAACAAATTAAAGAAATGTAAAAACAAAGAGAATAATATAAATTAGTTTATTATCATTAATTTTTTAATTGCATCCTTTCTTTACTATTTATTAAAAGATATAAGAATAAAATTTTTGTACGAATATTTCCTTTTTTGAATGAAAATAACAAAAATTGAAATTCTCTAAATTTTTATTTTTAATTTTCAAAAATATTTATAATTACATTGTAACCAGCCTATTGCACTTCCATTCCTTCTTACCTTTTATTTTCTTCATTCTATTGCACATTTCAATTGACTCATTGCTATTCAATTAATTTATTCAATAGATTAAAATATTAGTTAAAACAAATGAATCAATTAATTATTTTCATATATTCATTCATTTAAATTATAATAAGTGATATAATATTAATGAATAATTAAATTTTGAATTTCAACCAACTGATTTTTTATTTTGTTACTAATTAATCTAAATTTTAATTAGTTAAATTCAATTTCTTTCTTATTTAATAGTGGTAAATAGATATAAGACACGCATATATATATATAACGTAGAATGAACTTTTGTTTCGTTCAATTAAAATTACCTTTCCGTATTATCACCAGCCTTTCACTTTATTTCTTTTTTGTTTTCAATTAGGTAAACTGATGATAATTTGATTAATTTAAATCTTTTTGTTTACTTATCACTTGAAATTTTCATTCATATCAAATTTAGAGATATTTTCAATAACTATAAAAAGCTATTGAAAAAATTGCCAATGCATTCTTCAAAAGACATTAAAAGTTAAAGAAAGTTTAGATAAATTGATAATTAATTGGTAAAATTATAAATTATTTTCTTTTGTTTCTTTTTTTCTCATCTTCTAAGTTTGGTATGGAAGGAATTTTGTATGATATTGTCCGTTGAAGAGAGTGAAATGAATATGAGAAGTGGGAAGAAATGGCTGTCATCATAGAAAGGAAGAAAGTGCTTAGGAAATCTTAGTTCGAAGGTCAATTGGCGTCTATGTACGATGATAAAATGGACGGATAATTGTAGCAGTGATAGTGGGAGTATTTAATGCATTATCACAATAATTAAAAGAAATATACTTTGAGGTGAAGAGAAATTAATAATGTAAACTATACAGATGACGCATTTAATGGTAATTGCCACTGGCAATTATATCAATCAATACATTTTTGACAAAAGATTTGAACAGACTATTATGACCTTTGCGATAGTTTGGTGATGATTAATTTCTTAATTGTTTGATTATTTAATGGAATGGTATGCTTTCGCTCTGATAATTTCTTTTCACAATAATTACAGTAATTTCTATTTAGGTTAAGGTTACTAAAAACTTGACCCATTTAATGTTTTTCCCTTCAAATACTTTTTCATCATTCTTTTCTAATCTTTTTACAAAATTTGTAATTTGAATTTCACAACAACATGTACGGTAACTTTTCCTTTTCCTTGGCTTTAAATGTGAAATGTAAAACTGTGAATTATTGGCAGTTGGATTGGCAATCAAACCAATATTTCCAAACAATAATAATTGTCTTACAATTTAGTAAATAATTGATAGCATATAATATATGATATCAATTTATAGCACAATTATTGGTCACAACTAACCAATTACTAGCTATAAAATAAGTTTACCATTTTATGATCCATTATAATCAAGGTTGTTAAGTAATCAATAAGTTTCCTTTCGATCAATCTTGGCATAGCTGTTTGAGAGAAAGAGAATTCGTTCCGCTTCTTTATTTCGGTCCTTTTTTATTTCATCATTTCGTCAAATGATACGATGAATTTCGACACTTTCATAAGTAATGCAATAAACGTACGCAGCGAAAATCAGAATAAATTAAAATAGAAATTCCCTTATTTACATATTTTTTTCTTTATTGCAACTTTTCGAATTGAAATTTAAGCAATAAAAGTGAATAGAAAAGAGAAAGATTTATACTTTTCGAATTCATTACATTTTTTACTAAAGAAAAATATTATTTATCATTCGTTAAATGAGATGAAATACCAAAATACTATCAGTTATATCAGTTACTAAGGAAATTTGTATTTTGTTTGTTATATAATTTGTTATATAAATGTAATTTGTTATATCAGTTATATCAGTTAATATCAGTTACTCATTTCATAAACAAAGGAATATGAAACTGTCACTATCATAAAAAATATAAAATATCGATCGACTTTCTGATATTTTGAATATTTCAACTATATAAGAGGTAAATGAATAGAATGATATCGTTTTGTTAATTTGTAAATTTTCATTTTTAAATCGAAATTTACTGAAATAAATGGAAAGATTTGATTTGAATTGAAATAATATTGCAAAGATTTTTTCTACAATGTACTTTCACTAAATATTTATTTATTTCAAATTTCAAACTTTTATGAACTTTAGAGAAATTACTTCGCACTTATTGTTGGTTGATTAAGAAGAAACATCATAAGTGTTATACATAAATCATTTCTCAAGCAATTGACACAGATAATGATTTTCGAATTTTTGAAATTGAGGAAAAACGAATGAAGTGACAGATAGGAAGAAATAAAATGACAGTAACTTAGAAGGGAAAAGAAAATCAATGATCAACGATGGACGGATAGATGGACAATGACATCTGAATGATCGATTATTGTAGAAATCAACAAAATTGACAGGATATATAAATCAAACATTGAAAAATTTTACTTGGAATCAATTTGTTCATTCTCTACTATCATACTGATAATAATATCATTTCAATAAAACAATCTAAGATCAATAACTAATTATTTACTTTATAAATTACCGAATGATACGCATAAATAGCATACATAACAAAGTTTGAAGTGCTATTTTCTTGAAAAGATAAAAATATTAAAAGAAAAATTAATTTGAATTCGAATAAATTAAATCTTTTATATTTTATAAAAATTTTATGTGTACAATAGGATTTTATATTTTGCTATTTAAAAAGAATTGTAATTAAGAATTAAAATATTAGAAAAGTTTGAATATATCAATTAAAATCATTAATGATTAGTTTTTTAATTATCAGAAATTCATTCTATCCATTCCATAAAACAATAATAATTAAAATATTATCTAATTTTTATTTCAAATTAACAATGATAATATTAGAAAAGGAAGAATGATAACGCTATCATTTTGCTCTTTCCTTCAAAATTTTACGATTTCCATCAAAATAATTAATTATTGTAAACAAAACAAAAAAAAAATAAATAAATAAATTGAAGAATGAGGAAGTGAAGAAATTGTGTAAATGTAGAAATTTTATTATAATATTTCTTTGAGATGTAATATTTCTGTATGGAATCTTCTGAATGTAAGGAATGTTTAAATTTGTACACTTTCAATTATTCTATCATTGAAATTTTAATTAGTCATAATTTTTGAAGAAATATTTACTTTAGATTTAAAACTGATAAAACTTATGATAATTGTTATTTAAAGAAGGTAATATCTTTAAGTAATAAATGACCGTATTCCAAAACAATTTCAAAAGGTGTAGTTTAAATTGGATTAAAATTTAATCAATTCTTCATATATTTGTTATCACTATTATCGAAATTTTAATTAACAATACTAAATTCTTTCAAATATATTTATCTTAAATTTTAATAAATTTATTTGATAAATTTTTACGATGTAATAATATTTTCAGACATTGTTTTCCATCGTAATGAAAATTTATTTTTCATTAAAATTTTCTATTGAAATTGAAAATAACAAATGTTAACTAACTATTGTTTTCTAATTAAATATCATAACAAACTGAAAAATTACTCATTGAAATTTTCTTGTTTTTCTTTTCGTTTAAATTAATTATTTTTAAAATTTTGAGTAAATACATTTTAAAGACAAGTTTTTTTTTCCCGCAGTTTACAAAAGTATTATTACACTGTTACAAATAACAATTGATATGTTTAACCTTTTTTTGATCGATTTTGATTGTTTAGTTTGAAAATGCTATTGTTGTCGTTGTTGTTGTCGTTGTCGTTGTTGTTGTTGTCGTTGTTGTTGTTGTCGTTGTTATTGTTGTTGTTATTGTTATTATTTCCGATACTATCGATACTTTGTTTTGATGGAAAGACAAAAATGATTTGTTAATGGTAAATGAAGGAAATTATTCTCTTTGACATTCTAATGATGTGAAGAAATTGTTTTGAATTTTTTGAACATTTCATAAACGTCAAAATATTTGATATTTCAAAACTCGATTATTATCAGTAGTAAAGTTAAAAACTTTTTAAAATTTTTCAAACTATAATTTTATCAATTTTAATTGTTTCGCGCAAATTTTATGGACAATTAAAAAAAAAAAGAGTAATAATATAAATTAGAATCAAAAATAATCGGCTACTCTTTTTATAATTATCTTATAGGGTAATTTGAATTTTTTTTGATTTAATTATAAATTGTAATTGTTAAAGTTTAATTAGCAAATAAAAACGAAATACAAGAAATATTCTAATTCTAAAATAAATTGCGGTAATTAATGATATGAGCTGAAATAATTCAAATATTAATGGTAAATTCTTATTGAATTAACTTTAGTTATTCAGGTTAATAATATTAGTAAGTGAGATAAACGTGAGATCATCGGTCAGTTCAAATCATTCTCCTTCAATTTATTTCATTCGTTAATTAGTGATCATTAGTGCTTCTGTCTTAATTAGCATAGAAAGTTATTTAACTATTAAAACTATATAAATAACATTTAGCATGAACTACCTGAATTTTATTATCAGTTGAAAAATAAGGAACTATTAGTAATTTTCATTAACATCATCTAGTTGAACAATAATTAATTGTTATGAAGTATGTACTAATTAGGAGTGAAATATTAATCTATTGGGGTTGAAAGTTGACTAATTTGTCATTTAGAATAAAAAATATAAATTTAAAGAATAGATATGTACTTATTATGTCAAGTATTGTTTTTCTATTTCAATAAAAAAGACAAGCTAATGAATACATCTAATTAATTTTCAATTGTTTACTTATTCAGAGCATTTTAATGGCAAAAAATGATAGCTATGATAAGAGTGATTTTTCTTTTTTTAAATTCTAATGCTTTGAAATGAATAATACTGATATTACTCAGAAATGGAATATGAAATATAAAACAAATTTTAGGTAATCATTTTAGAAAATTTGGTCTAGTCTATCATATAGTATTTAAATATAGTTTATAATTGATTCGCCAATATCGTACGTTTTCACAAAGTTGAGTTTAGAACAAAAGAAATCAAATAGTTAAAATTAATAACTAATAAATGAATGATACAATAAGACTATTATTATCTAATCACATACGGTTTATCACTATATTGATATGATCAAATTATGTAACATCATAATAAGAGATATATGACAAGGTAGTATGATCATTATTGCTTAATTATTCAGGTGTCAATTCAGATGAACAATTCTTTGAACCGGTCAGTAGTGATGATTGCAATGCGCTTGATCCAACAGATAGAAATTTGGCCGAAAAGATGATTAAAAGTCACCTTGTTGTACCAGTTGAGGATACTTCAACCAGAAAGCTATTATCAATCGATGATATCACTAAAGCTGTTGGTACAGGTTGTGTTCCAAAGGTAATTTCAATTCAAAAATCTAATTCTAGAAGTTTAAATTTTAGTTATATTTTAAAGAAGAAAGCTGTAAATAGTTTAATCTTTTAGCTTGTTGATACTGATTGCGCTCGCTCTCTGTGCTATCATTTGATGTATCGAAGTTATGATGGAGTTTGCAATAATCTTAAAAAACCACTTCTTGGCGCTGCCTTTAGACCATATTTCAGGTAATGTTATAATTAATTACTCCTTTCATTTCACCTTAAACTTTTAATGGAAATCAATAAACTAACTTTTGATAAATTTTGTACAAAAATTTGAATTATTTCTTAAGCAATGACATCTATTATATATTTATGAATAAACCAATTAAATTTTACTATAATCGTTAATTTTAAAATTGGCAAAATTTTTTCATATGAATTTAATCAATAATAATTTGTAGGCATCTACCAGCTGAATACGATGATGGAATATCAGAACCAATTTGTAAGCTTTCCTTATTTTCATTTTATCAACCAATATTTGTTATCATTGATTTTAAGAATAATTATCACCTTTAATGATAATATGCTATCAAACATTCATTATCACAATTTTCCTTTTTCCTTTTTTTCAGAAGTAAAAATAACAAATGTTTTTTTCGATTAATTTTCATTTTTCTTAATTTCATTTAATTTTCTTTCTTTCAACGTTTCACACATTAATTAAACTATTTTGCGACAAAACTTCGAAACGAAACATTGAGGAAAAGGAATTCCCTTCAGAAATCTAAACATTCTGTGGAATTGAACTTTCTAAAATGGAAAAGGTCGAATTTAAATGAGAGAGACAAAATGATTGATAACAGTAAATTACACAACAATAAATTAAGCTAATCAAACTTATTCTCAGTTGTTTAGTGATGTTGATTAAATAACAAAAATAATCATTTTTATCACTTCTCCTTTTTTTTTTCTTTATTTCTCACTTTATTTCCTTTTATTTATTGATTCCTTTTTCTCTCTCTCTCGCTATTGACAACTATAGAATTCAGGAAAAAGGTATATTTAGTTAATGTGAAAGCAATGAATTTCATCGATGCAAAATGAATTATTCTCCATATGTGATGATTCCTTCCAAAATGAAATTTTATTTTAATTTCGCATAAATTTAAATCAGAATTGAAATAATCCAATTTCATCATAATTTAAACAAAAAGCAATAAAAGCGAAAAATATTAGGTTAATAGAGATTTATTACAAAAAATTATAAATATTTCTTCCGTTTTTTTTTTAAATTAAAAAAATTTTGTCATAATTTTTAGCTTCAATACGAGCTACACGTCCAGCAGCACGTCAAGTTTCACGTTCTCTCTTATCAAGTTCACAAACTGTACAACACGATAAGTATAATGCATTAGTGATGCAATTTGGACAATTCATGTCACATGATATTGCTAAAACAACCTTACAACCATCAGCTAAATGCATTTCTTGTAAACCGATACCATCTCTTTGCATGCCGGTACCAATTTCAGAAAAGGATAGCAATGAAGCGTATGATTTTGCGTTTCACTTAATTTAACTACTTAATGATATATGAATGATAAGAAATGATAATATGTTATGGACAATTTCCTTCAATTATTTCCTTTAAAGCTTTACAAATTAATATTTGCAATATTATAATATTATGAGGAATTTTTCATAATTTTATGAAATGATTAAAGTAAAAGAAATGGAAATCTTTTGAAGTCATTATCCGTTCATTAATATTTTATTTGTTTCTAAAATTTACTTCTTAAAATTCTAAATTCTGGAAATTTATTAATTGCTTAAAATTTAAAACAAATAAAGAAGGAAAATGAAGAAGAATCAAAAAATGCTTTAAATTTCTTAATGATAATAGAAGTAAGCATTAAAGATATCGGTAAGGAAAGAAACCGAAATAAATAATCCGGAATTCATTCTGGAATTATTACACTATAAGCTATTGCGCAAAAAAATGATTTATCATTTTAAAAAGTGATAAATGATGAATTTTTACTCTTTCATTTTTCAAATCATTACCTTTTTTTCTTTAAATGAATAATTTTTTAAATGCCATAATTAATCACTTTCATAAAATGATAACAATCAAAGTGCGTTTCATTTTAATTATTTTGTCTGAAATTATCAAAACAAACCTAACATAGTCATTAATTTATTTATTCCACGTGAAATTTGAAAAAATAAAAATTGCCATAGCTCTCCAAAATATTAGTGTTTATTTAGATGATGAAATTTTGAACTATTCAATAATAATGTTATCACTATCACTATCATTATCACTATCACTATCACTATTATTGTCTTTCAAAGATAATCAGATTGTAATTTTATAAATTCATTCATTTTTCTTATATTTATTTCATCTTTTTCGTTAGTAAATTTTCGAATTAAGATTTTTCTATGCATTTACTTTTTTTTAAATGTTTAAGAAAAGCTGAAGAATATCCTGAAATTTAATTTATTTCAATCCATGCGAATATATCTTGAAGAATAGAAAGATAGCTTTCACCATCTGCTTTCCTCCATTTTTTATCACTATAATTATTATCATATATGCATTGGCAACAATAATTTTTTAATTATCTTATGTTATTATTATTATTGTTACAATCCTATTATTTAATATTATTAATTATTGTAATTATTATTTCTTAATACTATTAATGTTATTGTTCTATTAGCAAAATTTTTAAAAATGACGCGATGAATTAGCTATATTATATATTTACAGTTTCAAACAACGACGCTGCTTGAAAGTTTCACGATCGTCACCGATTTGTGGAACCGGTCGAGGCGGAGTGCCACGTGAACAGCTGAACGAGAATACAGCATTCATTGATGCTTCACCGCTATATGGATCATCCTTCAAAGATGTGCATAAATTCCGTCAAGGAAGGACCGGTTTTCTGCGAATGAATAAATTCAACAATCAGATGGTTAGTTCCAGTCAAGAAATAATTTTAGCCTTGACCTTTCATCTAATCAAACTTTCGTAATCATTAAAGAAAAAGTAGTAAAAGAAGGAGGAAAAAGAAAAAACAGTTAATAGTTATACAAAATAATTAATTACTAAATTAGATGGTAAATAATTTAACAAAATGGCTAATAATGTTAGCTACAAAGATTTTCTGCCGATGCAACTTTTTGTGATCGGAAAATTTATTTTTAATTTTATTATATTATTTTGATGATAAGTAAGAAAAGAAAAAAAAATGATAACGATATATTGATATTTAATTGTTAATCAAATAAGAATATATTATTAACGAAAATTATGATGAAATATTATGATAATACAAACACGAAGAGTTACAACAATAACAAAATTATTTCTTAGGTATTACCTTTTGATCAATCGAAATGTAGCTCACCACAGAAATGCACTGCAACATTTACCGCAGGTGATATTCGTGTTAATTTATTCATTGGCTTATCATCTATGCATATTTTATTCACAAGAGAACATAACAGGTAAGTTATTATTTTTTACTAATTCTTTTTATTATACTAATTCTGAAGAGATTTATTTTTTTGTCTATTCTAGTCTTCTTCATTATTACTTCATTAATTATTATGAAAGCATAGCTAACTTCATCATTTGTTTATACAATTTTATTATTTATTATTTTTATTTTGCATTATTGAAAGAATTAAATAATTGCTTTTATATATCATAAAAATTTTTTAATCAAAGTTAAATTAATTTATAACTTTCTTAAAACAAAGCATAATATTTCAAAATCAGAAATATTTACAATCGACAATATTATTTTTTTTCAACTGATCTATGAGAAAGAAATGAAATTTTAAATTTTATTTTTCTCGTTTTCTTTCCGTTCAGGATCGCATCAATTTTGGAAAAGATGAATCCAAATTGGTCCGGTGATCGCTTATTCCAGGAGACACGAAAAATTGTCGGCGCTGAGGTACAAGTAATAACTTACAAAGAATTTTTACCAAAAATTTTGGGAGATACAATGAATAAACATATTGGTCCTTATAATGGATATGATCCACAAGTTAATCCTAGCGTTTCCAACGTATTCACCACAGCAGCTTATCGATTTGGTCATGGAATGCTTCAGGTTGTTTGAATAATCAATTAAAAAATTATATTTAATTAATTTACCAAAAACATCTTGTTCACAAGTGATTAATAATTTTTAGTTAAATTCAATTTAAAGATTTATCAGCATGTGATACGTAAGTACGTAATTTTCCGTGCGTACTATAGAGTAAGATATTAATTGAAATTACCAAAAATACCAATTACAGTATTGATACAATTTTAATTCACTATTTTCTACAAATTTTTTTTAAGGAATTTTATCAACGATTAGATTTCTCCGGAAATAATATTTCTCATGGAGGATACCCGTTTGGTGATGGTGTTTTCAAATCAAGCAAAATTTTATTCGAAGGCGGAATTGATCCAATTTTGCGAGGTTTCATGATGACAGCTGTAAAACGACCTCACCGAATGAGTAAATCAATCACAGAGAAAATGTTTGGCAGGTAAAACATTGTATGTTTTATCCATTTTAAATTATCAAAAATTATCATTTGATAATTTGTTTGTAATTTATCACTTTAATTTCTTTTATAAGAATTCTCGTTCATTGCACAACATTTTTTGAGTTATTAGAAAAGGAAGAATAAAAAAAAGAAACTGATAAAAGTGATTATTAAGTACTGATCTTGGATCTGTCAATATTCAACGTGGACGTGATCACGGATTACCGTCGTACAACAAATGGCGACAATTTTGTGGATTATCGTTGGCTAATGATTTTGATGATTTGAAAAATGAAATTTTAGATGAAAATGTACGTATCGGTTTAGCAAAAACTTATAATACAATTAGTAAGTTGCATCGTTTTTTCGTTTATTTTCCATATTTATTGATTGGAAACAAAAATTAAGAAAAGTATATACTATAAAATTTCGTAAAATTTTTTCACTTCCCTATAATTTGTTAATTAGTATTAAAATTCAAAAAGAAATTAATTTAGTAATGACACTTTTAATTTAACTGTTGCTATTTGTAGAATGTGTATATAATCAAATCTTTAACAAAATGAGAAATTTTGATGTTATTAAATCTTCAGTAATTGATAGTTTTATAGTAAAGGGACAATGGCTATTCATTGAGTGACCTTTATTCACTTTCTTGTTTATCTTTTCAAACTTAATCTTTCATAATCTGATTTATTTTATAATTACAATTCTAATACATTCTCGAATCTCTTTTTTAACGTATTACTTTACTCCTTTATTTTTTTAGTATATGTTCGTCAGGACGTTTCCCATATTACTACCTTTATCATTTCCCATATTACTACCTTTACTCCCTTCCATCATTTCCCATATTACTACCTTTACTCCCTTCCATCCCGTATTACTACCTTTACTCCCTTCTATCATTTCAATCATTCATAATTTGTAATATCGGTACTTCGAAGTTTTCTTTTTAAATTCATTCACTTCATTATTTTTCTGATTGATAATATTTTTAATTTTCAGCTTTCATCTTTATTTTATTATACCAATTATCTTTCTTTCTTCTTTTTTGAAAGAGTTTTAAAATTTTCCAATTTTTGAAATTATAAATTAAAATTAATCGAGTATCATAGATGATGTCGATTTATATATTGGTTCGATGGTTGAAGATCCAGTTATTGGTGGTTTAGTTGGTACAACATTGGCTTGTTTAATTGGTGATCAATTTAAGAGATTACGTGATGGTGATAGGTAATATAAGTTTCAAGTTTTATTATATAGAGGACAAAAATAATGAACGAAGGGAATATCAAAAGAAGAAAATCGGATTAGAAAGAAGAAAATCATATTGCATAATGAAGGGAGATCGTTGAATCTTCCTTCGTTATGCAATATGTGATAAATCTTATGGTAATAAAATTTATCAAAATTCTATTCGATTTTTTTAAATTTTTCCCAAAGGAAAAAATAAGTTTTGAAAGGATGATACTTTTTGAAATTTAATTAACCATTAACAATTCATCTAATCATTTTCAAATATTTTTTACAATCCCAGTCCATTCCTTTTTTACTTCTTTTTCATTTCTAAACAGAAGATGAAAGGAAAAATTTATTTCATTTTTTTAATTTTTCTATTTTAGATTTTATTACGAGCGTCCCGGTATTTTCACTGAAATGCAATTAGCCGAACTTCAAAAGGTTACCATGGCTAATATCATTTGTAATAACGGTGATCATTTTGGTATCATTTCACAGGATGCATTTTTGGTACCACGTGGACATCTTACGCAGTGTTCATCAATTCCACAAATTGATTTAACAAAATGGCGAGAATAAGTCAAATGGATTTAAATTATGAAAGGAAGGAAAAAAGCGAAGATAATGATGCAGGGATTGTAAGCAAATGAAAATTAACTATAAAATAAATATTATATTAATTATATTATCGTTATATTAATTATTCAATTTATTATATTGTGATCCGTTTTTCTTCTTTTTCTTTTCTTTAAATTTATTTCATACGGTGTGATATCTTCACCTTTCCTTCCTTCTTTGTTTTCTTAATATCGTGCAGTTTTTTTTCCTCCTCTTCTCTCTTCTTTTTTTCTTTTCGTTTGTCTGTTTAATTTTGTTATAATTTAATTGGTTGATTTTACGTGGTAGTAGCATGAGGTAAACGTGAACTTACGTTTTGAAAACGTGCTACTCTCAATTGTGTCAATCATCTTTTACGGGCAATTTGGTAATTAAATAAGGCATATTGTAAATGAACCAAATGGTAAATTTACCTTTTAACAAAAGTGCTGGAACTTTTTTAATATGCATATTTGCATTTTGATGATATGAATAATATGAATGAAAATTAATTAATCATTCTTAAAGTAAAATATAATTAAATTTAAGAGTAAATAAAGAAGTGATAAAGATGAAAGATAGAATAGAAGATTGTAAGAGAAAGAGAGGAAATTTTTGGATTTTCAACAAATTTTTCCTGTAATAATTTTAAAGTTTAATTGTTCAAGTTAATTTGATGCTTTTAACATTACATTTGAACTATTCAGATGAAACTTTGATTGAATAATATTTCGTGTATTATGAAAATTTTAAAGAGCTTAATTAATATATTCTTCCGATGTCATCTTTCATGCTATTATCATAATTAACCTTTTGTTTACATAAGTTTATTATCAATTATGAATTTGATAAATTATATTCTTTAAAGAAAAGAATTGTATAATAGTTATTGCTATCTTACTTCAATTTTAATTTGATTTTTAAATTAATTTTCTATTACAAAATGTTTAATAAGTAAATTACAAAAAAAGATTACTGTATGGTTCACTTCAGGTTGCGTTCTATAATTGAAATTCGGAATTGTAAATGAAGTAAATTAGAGTTGAGTAAAATAACATTTAATTAACGATGGTTAGTGTTATTTTACTCTGTGATAATATAATTTACTAAAATGAAATGAATGAATGAATGAAACAAATAAAATTAATTAAAATTTATTAGTACTAATTAACGAACTATAATTTAAGGTTATTAGAATGATTTCATTGACGAAAATATATTTGTATTCTCTTGTATTTTGCTTCTTTTATAAATATTTCACTATTTCTATTTTATAATTATAAATCTTGTAGAATTTATGACAAACTATAAATTCGGGCAAATTATTAGATACTCATTTATTGTACCATTTCATTTTTCTTTTGTTTAAACTTCTCTGTTCATTAATTAAAATTTTAGGATCAAAAATTATAATTCGTTTCCATTATATTGCAATTCTTATAAATAGTTGAAATTATATAAATTTAAACATTTCGAAATGTTTCAATTAAAATTATCTCTTTTTTTTATCAGTGAAATTAGTATTTTCTTTTGCCTTTCTTTGAAAATTTTAATATTTAAAAAAAAAGAAAATTTGATATTGTTTTAAGATTAATGATTAATGATAGAATAAATGGTATAATATTAAGTTGAAAATTTTTAATCCAAAAAAAAGGAATATCCAATCTTTTCTGCACGAACAAACTTCACAATTTCAATTTAGCAAAATGATTAATCCATTGTAAATTAATGTTAGCGATAAACAAATTACCTTAATTGTTGTAAAAGATGAAAGAAAAAGTTAAGCCAGCCATTAATTAATTAATTAATATGAATGTGTTTGCCTGAATAACATTTTAAATTGCATGATTTGTATTTAATATCATTTATATTTTTGGCAATGTATGAGTTAAAATATTTTTAGCAATAAATCGAAAATTATTTGTATTTAATAAAAGTTTAGGAAATTAAACAAATATTTGAAATATTTATTTAATCGATGAATTTTGAAATTAAATTAATATTCCTAAATTTTTCTTCTTCTTTAATATAAAATTTTATAACTAACTAATTTGAATATCATTCATATTAATCTTAATTTGTTTCATATAATACGCAGATTGGTATGAATGTTATCATTATATATGCCTGAAATGATTTAACCAAATTTTCTTTTTGTTTTATATCCATCATTTACTTGTATATTTCTTATTGATCCGATTAAAAAGATATACAATTTCAAATTTGTTTATTACCGTTAAACAAATAGAATTGCTAATTAATAAAATATAAATTAAATGGAATATAATTTGAATGTTTGTTGCTTATATGTGAATGCTTTCGAATAATTCGTGTAAGATTTTTATCCGATATTTAATTATATTATGCAAAATCAAAAAATTCCAATGAAGGAATGTTTTAATTAGAAAGATTTGAAGAAGACAAAAGGGAAGATTTGATGAATAGAAATATTTGTTGGATAATATTAATTGCTCTCATTTTATCCACCGTTGTACAAATCAGAAATGAAAAAAGATGTTGAAAAGAAAAAGTGATGGCTCTAACAATTACTACTACTCATTTTAATATTTTATAGTACAAATAGAAAAATGTTATTCCTATAACTGACAGATAATTTGGAATAATTATTTTCTCTAAGTAAAATTAAAGTTTAAAATTATTGTATGATTATTATAAGAAAATAATTTCACTAATTATGCATAAAATATTTTTATATAATTTTAGGAAAAATATGAAGTCACGAAGAAAGAAATGATATTATTGAAAATTTTCTCATTTCACTGAGGAATGCTTTCATCTAATTTCTAATCTATCATTTTTTGATAATAATAATCAGTAAATTGTTAATGATAATGATAACAAATCGTTGATGATAGCAATATGTTAGTGAAACAAAAGTATCATAAGCGATTTACTAATAAAGTTAATGAAAATGTATTCCAATTTTTTACTTCTTATCCAAATCAATAAGATTAATAGAAAGAATATTCATTGAGAAGTATATAGATAGATATCCAAATTGTGCTGATTATCAGTTATATATAATTTTTCCTCTTCTCATTTCTTCTTTGTACATATCATATATTTATGTGACCCAATATCAAATGAATTTATCGTAACCTAATTAATACTTTATTAACATTTAATGCTTTACTGATAAAAATTACGCTAATTTAAATTGAAATTATTCTTTTGTTCTATTTTCAATCTAAAAAAGTAACTTCTATATAGAATGCAATTTATTTTCAAATATTAGTTTATTTAATTTTTGTTATTGTTCAGATTATTTACATTCACTGTATCACCATATTGTATTATTAAGTGTAATCAGAAAAACGGAAGATATGAGACAGGTTTCTTCACACGTTGAGATCGACGAACATTATTACATTCTTGGTTTTCGGTTTGTTGAAATGTAAAATGATAGGCGCTATAACCTACACGTGGATTCCAAATGGGTGATTCCCACATAGCTGATGAACTACGTGTTGCTGATCGTATTTTGAGCGCATCACCAAACATTTTTTGCATATCAGGTGGGTGAATTTTACCAAATAAAGAATCGATATTAGTTTGAGACCATATTTGTTGTTTCTCAAGAATCTGTCGTACATTCTCTTCTGCAAATGTATAAGAAGCTAATGATTCAGAATTGAAGAATTACAATACTACAGATTAATCAAGACTAAAGCTAAAATAATATAATCATAGTTAATTGCTTTCTAATTATTTTCTACAATGCAATACTTTGTTCTACCATTTTCACATCTTAAATTCCATTTTGCTATAATTATCAGATGAATTTGATTTATTGCTATTTTCAATTCTATAAATAGATGACCATTAGCCCAAGATGGAATCTTCTTGCACGACTTTTCATTGGAATCAGTTTCATCATTTGATAACAAATCGTAAATTTCATAATCTGTTTCTTCCTCTTCAATTCTCTTGTCAGCATCCTCTGAATGACGTATTCTAGAAAGGAAGTCTTAAAACATAATGATACTAATTATCATTTATTTATGCTTTCCACGATTTCATAATAATTATTGGAAAATAAAACATTTTATTAAAATATCTTTTACAGCTTGATTTCATAGGTTGAACTTACTTATATCGTTAAACAAAGGACATTTGAACTTACGTAGCTTGAATGTTTTCCGTTACTAAGTTTACGGAAGTCGATGATAATTCATCAGCTGTTTGCATCGATTCCCTGTAATAAATGCATTAGAAAGATGCATAAATTGCTAAATGAAGTTACTTTTAGCTAGTAATACAATTTAACCTTGCTATGAACTTTATAATGTATTAATAAATTAATTAATAACCTGGCTAATTCTTGCTCTACCAATTTCTCTAATGTTTGTCGGCCTGGAAATCTTGTACTGGTCACTTTTCCGCGTTTCTCTCCTGCACCCTTTATGACATCACCGTCTGTTGCATGCACCATTATTGTCTTGGATTGATGTGAGGATGATGACCTCATATCCATTGACATTACACGGAAATCGTCACTAGTAATGTTTCTCTCATATTTCAGATCACGAATTAAATATGTCGATCGTTTTGTACCTTTATGGATCACATTAACGTCATCAACTTCATGCATTTCGCCGCGATGAATCACACACGTGGATCTTTTCGGAAAATCAATACTTTTATTACCGGGACGAGTGCGTTCCAAAATTGATGCGGTGTTGTTGGATGTTAAACTCATTGATAACGAGTTGTCAGGTTGATGAATATTAGCATCATCGTTTTGTTTTGAAGAATTTTCTGACGTAGACAATTGTGACGCATGACATGATTTCAGAACATCTGCGAATTCAATACCTGTATGGTTTTGCTCCATATCCTTGTCAGAATCCAGAATTGCAGTTTCTGTCTTCGATGAATCTTTTATTTTTAACACATTGGAATCAAATTTAGATGACAATGTTGCTTCGATATTGGATTCTTCAGAAATGGCAGTTTTTAATTCAGATAATATAGTTGTTTCCAAATCAGATTTAATACAAGCAATTTGATTAACACTAGTCTCCATTGGAGAAGTTGAACGATTCATAGTATCATAATGAATTGCTTCCTAAAATTGTATCATAATAATTTTAAAACACGATAATTATTTATTATGAATATTATAAGCTTTTAGTTACGGAAATTTTTCCTTATTTACTGCAAACGATGAAAAATATGCAGTTAAATTTAAAATTTTTTATTGATGTGCTATAATAATTGTAAGATTTAATATTTTCTAAATTTAATGTCAGAAAGTTTTTAGAATTTGTCTAAAATTTTCAATCCATTTGTTATGTTAACATATATTAGCAAAGAATTAACTTAATTAACAAACTTTGACAGGAAAGTTTATTTAGATGGATAAATGAGAATTATTTCGGATAATCGAAATTAGACATATATCATACAATTTTTAAACAAAAAATTTACCGTATAGGAATTTTATTGATATCACATGATTGAACTTCCTGACAAAAATTTCGCTTTGTCTTAATTGTTTAATATTGCTATCATTTACTATTTTTTATTATCATTATCATTATAATTAATTATTAATATTAATATTATTATTGTTATTATCATTATTATTTATTATTATTCATTATTATTTATTATTGTTACTATTATTCAATTATTATTATCATTATTATTTAATTATTGTTATTATTACTATTATTATTTAATAGTAATATTGAGAGAATTGTGACCTTCTTTTCCGTCTTCTTCTTCATTTTAATTCGCCCTCGGTGCTGTAGCATAATATTTATTGGTACTATTTGTCCATTTTCTTGTTTTGAAGGTTCCGTTTCCTATATAAGTATTCAATTATCATCGATCGATTTTTTAAACTTAAATCCAAACAACTACGGTGATTAACCATATCATATTAATTAATCAGTATGATATCATAACAATCAAGAGAACCCGTTTTACTACTTATGTATAACTGAGGGGAATTCTCTATTTCACTAATTATGTATGACTGAAGGAATTCGTGTATACTTTTGTTTTGCTACGTAGTCGCTCAGCGATTGGAGTTGCGTTATGAGCGCTTCGAGTACGTTTAGCAATAGGCGTGACAGAAAGTTTATGACGTTTACGCTCTCTATTTGCAGCTGCGTTAACAGCCTGTAATACTTCGAAGTAATGATTTTTAAAATGACCAACTTTGCATCTATTCTGACGACTTTTAAGGAATCTGACCAATAGATCGATTAAAGCAAACAAATGGATAGTGGCTATCATAACTATTTTCCTTCCAACGAAATCTATTCGCGACCCTTTGCTAAGCAAAAAACAACGAATACTTTGTAATACCAATTTAATGCTATATATTATGAAATTGGAAAGTGTAATAAAATTCAAAATTCCAAATACATCCGAAAAATCGTACAATTGAATAGTCCATTTAATGGAATTAGAATGACACGATCAGTATGGTTAATATTGGGAAGTTTTTTGAAAGATCCATTTGAAATTATCACTGAGAAATAATTTTAATAATTAACATCCGCGTTGGTGCAATAAAATTTCTATGACAGATATTTTCACGAATGAAAAATTACCTGTTGTTTAATTTTGATCAATGAATGCTTTCGTCGTTCTTCATCTTCCTTTTCAAGTTGCTTCTTATGTTGCTTCACTCGACTTTGGCTATCTTCTCGAAATCTATTCATTTTATAAATATATGCAATATTACTCAAGGTTGAAACATAACCATTTAATTCTTTTGATATAAATAATTATAAAAATAATTATTGCTATTTTTAAATGGCGATAGTATAGGAAATGGTTTTTTTAAATGTATAATATTTATATTACTTTCGGGTCTTTTCGACTACTGCTTTCACTATTTCTTTCTTTCTGCAAACTGCATTGGTTATTCGTTTAACACAAAAATTACGTACACCTTTTGCTACCTATAATTAGTAGAAGTATTAATTGTAATCAGCGGAAAAAAATATTCTTTAGATGTTAAAGATAATTGAAATTAATGTAAATGTATTAACAGACGAATTATTCATCTGTGAATAATACTAATAAATTGTATTGATTAATGAATAATAATTGATTAATAATAAAATCAAAGATAAAAGTGATAAGAGCAATAATTAATATGAATTTAATTATTAATTAATAAAAGAAAATATTATAAATTAATGAGTACTATAGCTGGTAGAAGCGATAGATTATTACAGTCATTATTGGATGACGATGAATTCGTCCCCCAATGTCGTGATGGATTTGACCGAAACTGTACCCTTCAATAGAGTCATAATTAATAAAATAATTTCATACGTTATTCATACGATATATTCAAATAAAATTTTTATCTGATCACTTATTCAATATTTATAGTTAAAGAGGTTATTCTAAAGACTATGGGAGATTCAATATTTATAGTTAAAGAGATTATTGTAAAATAAAATGTATGCAGTAAAGATTGCCTAGTTTACGGATAAATATATCCAATGATCATTAAAGATAATATCGTATGTTATACTTTCGCTTCGTCATGCTATTAATCGCGTAGCATTTTTCATTTTCATCAATCATTCCAAGTAGATTTATGAAATCATTTTGCAAATGATTATTCTGTGTTCGTTTTCGCGGTAACACATATCCACTGTAATTTAATGAAAATATCTGAACTATAATAAATTATTTTAATATTAAATATTATAAATTGATAGTATCGCAACCATTAAAATAGTAGTAATTAAAATATATGATTGATTGCATAAAATAACTGATCAAATGTATTTTGAATAAGAATAAATAGAAGATATCATATACAGTTGATTTATTTCTAATTTATTACCAACTTTTTTCAAATTTTCTCCTTTTTGCTTTTTCTTCTTATATTTGATGCATTGATAGAATGAATATGGAAAATGGATAGATAGCATTAATTATTTGTGTAACAAATAATTTTCTATCATTTTACATTCTAAGAAAAAGAAAGAATCGATTCTTACCTGCCTTACCTGAGAAATATGACCTTCATTCTTACCTGTCTCTTAAAATTTGTTCCGCTTTTTTTTCTTCCTCAAAAATCCATTCCTGATATTCTGTCACTCGTCGGTTAAGTTCAGGAATTATTCTTTGATATAGCACCTGATTTGTTATCACTTCAAAGATTTGACGTAAATTTGGTGGGATTTTTACGTCAACCTTTTTTATTACTTGGCCATTTATTGGAGTTTTTTTGCGTAGATTATACATTAACCCTTCTACGGACGGATACAATAAAATGAATGAAAAGAATGATATTTTGATATTTATATAGACTCCGGAAAATTTCCATAATTTAAAATAAAATTTAAAAAACTAAAATTATAAATGAACGGCTAACTTTTAATTGAAGATAAATAATGTATGCATTACGGAATTAGTATATATACCCGTGTGTATATTGTCAAGAATATTTTATATTTTAGTACAAGTGATGTGTAAATTTAACAATATGAAATTTTCAGATATGTTGTGTGTGTTCTCATCCGTTATATGCCTGGAAATTTTTTTAATATGATTAAATATCGTATATAGATATTAATATGTTTCTGTTGGCTGGTATGATATTTAAGTTTGATTTTCTGAGAATTCTTAGGTAATCATATTAAAATATATATATATCGGCTATGTTAAAATTGAGCAATCAATGTAAATCTTTATCAGAAATAATTGACGTTAAAGTATACTGTACAATCGATGAAAAAAACCGATTACAATAGTAGTAGCAATAATTTTTTGGAAGATTAAAGATAGCTATTTTTTTTTAGCAATTAATTATATTTAATAATGCTGGATAATGATATTTTAATATTAATTAGTGAACAACACAGGATTCTAGGATTTCTCCAGGTAAGTTCCTGACAGTAACATTAACAATAGTTGTATTAATTGATAATATAATTAATTGTTGATTAATGCCTGAAATACATTCATAACGAACATAGGAGCATTCGTCGATCACTTGAATTTCCTCAACTAATTCATTCTTACATTCTTACAATCACACGATATATTTTCGTACACTAATTGGAATTTACAAACTGTAGTTCAAGCTGGCTGTGATAACTCGCTGTTCAGCGGTACATTTATCCCAAGCGCTCCAGGACATTTGCTTGCAATTTGCAACATTTAGTAAATGTCTTATTAAATTCACGTAGTGAACGTGAGTACCGCTTATATCGTCAAGTTTGTTCTTGATATCAACCAATCGACGATAAGGTACGTAGTAAAGTAGAATGGAACCAGCAAGCATAAAAAGTGAAGAGTAAAACAAAGAATAAATTCATCAAAATGAAGCTTTTTTTGTTCGGTTGTTTGAATTTATGATTGAATTTATGAGAACGACATTATCAGAATGACATGAAGTGAAGCGTAGGAATCCTTTTTTAATGTGTGGAAAATTTGTATATTCCTCAAAGAAAATGATACAGGTCACATGTCACTACATTTATCATGCTCAAAAATCGCTCATAAGCGGAAAAACATTTTCTGTATCTGAACATGTGTTGCAGTCACTTCTGAACGAATATCCTATGGAAACTAGATCGATTTGATTGATTGAGAGAGAGCGAATCAAGAAACACTATCGAAAATTGTCTTCAGGAATTTGATTAATGTTTCGTCACTTGTTATACATCTTCTCTATAGGATGGAAAATTTATTTACATCATTGATTTAGTCAGTGAAATTAATTGATAAAATTGCCGCTCAGGTAAGAGAAAGACCATAAGTCTGAAATCAAACGGGATAAAAAGGCTAGCACATAAATATATGTCTTCCTAAACATGCCCTATTCGCAAACCACTGAAAGACATACGCTTTACTTTTAAACAATATAAGCAATGGTGACCACGAGTGATTCACGTATAAACAGTAATTCGTCAACATACTCAAACTGTGGGCAAATAGACAATTAAAAAATGAAAAAAATCAAACATTGATGGAGGGATACAAAAACGACCGCGAAGATAACAGTAGAGAATTTAAGGCCAAGAAAATAAAGCAGTACCAACCAGTAAGCGTCATATTTTATTACTACTTGACGCACCGAGACCTTTCAAGAATTAGGCAAGTACATAACTGAATCAAATAATTGGAAATTAGGATAGTTCCATTTGTAATTCTGTGATAACTAAGCAATTCCAATTCTTCACCGCATAGTACGATGATAACGTCTCAAGTGCTTTTGACGATACAAAAAAAGCTTCTAGGTGATGCAGCAAACAAAAACGACCTAATTCTAAACCGAATAAGTGCACTTTTAAGCGATTCCTGATTTACCTGCTACCTCGTTTTGTTCTTTTTTTTCAGTGGAACTATCAGTTAATTTGATAGAAACTATGAGTGACAGATGAGAAACACAAATGCTTCAAGTTTTTTTTTCAAAAATACAAGGGAGTAAGCATTAATTAATGTTTAGAGAAATTAATGCGAATGCTGCACAAATCGATCAGTTGGATTATTTTTTATAAAAAATGTAGAAAAAGTAAAGAATTGTAAGCCTCAAAAAGGATAAAATAACTGCTCATCTCATTAAAAGAGATTTGAAAACATATTTAAACTTGGCGAATTTCAAAAGATTGAAATCTGAAGTATAAAAAAAAACGTGAGTTTAATCCAATAAAACCTAAATAGAAGTTCCTAACAAAACTTTATGTACAATTGAATGCTATGCTGATGGTATTATTACTGATCCAGATTGACTCTGTTGTTGTTTTACGATAAACGATAATATATTGAAAATTGAAGTAAATGGAGGCAGGCGGTAATCCTAAATAAGAAATTCCATTAACTGCTGAGAGATTGAGAACAGCTGTAATGTTACCGAGTGCTACCATCTCATGTTCATTTTTCGTCCACAGTGATCTGCTCGCGAACCGGCCATTTAATGTCCTCTAATGAACGGTTGAGATCATATGATTCTACCTGCAAATAATACATTCACTCTGTAAACATGAAATTATGAAATCATCCTTACGGTTCAGATCTTTCATGGTTTAGATAAATTATGCGACAAGAAATCAGGCTAAACGAAAAGTACACGAAAGGATTAATTTGAGGAGCTAGAAAGAAGTATAAAATATTGCTCTCTTCCTTAGCTTCAATTAGAAGGTGCAATAAAAAACTCCCAACAACATACCACATTTTTCATTGGCATATCTGAGGTCCAAATTCGATGTGTATCCAAGCTATACCCTTTTGATTCAACAAAGATCGTTATATTACGAAGAGGTTCAGTCATGCGAAATCTGGAATAAAATTCGTTAGACCAACAGTTGGACTTGAATCCACATATGGCTGGATCTATAAAGAGATGGTAAGATTAAAAGATCTTACTTTTACTGCACTCTTCTCTTCCTCTTGGAAGCACCATTTTTGCAAACATACAATGTGTTGCTTAATTATATAATGAACTCAACACATACCATATTTCTCGGGACAGAAATCATTTTTAACAAATGTTTACCTACGCAATTCCATTTTTCCATCCGGGAAACGAACTCGCACTACTGCAATATTTGTTTCGTCTGCGGCTGGTTCCACAGGCAAACTTGCTGCCAACTGCTGCAAACGCTTTGTTTTGTCTTGTTCTTCTTTTGCTCGACGTTCTTCTTCAGCCCTGCAATTCACCGCTATTAACTATGCGACATTTGGCAAGCAGCGATATTTTTATTTTAGTGACTTTCTAGAAGGAAAAAATGAAATAACTCACTTTTGCTCATTTTTTTCACGTTCAAGTCTTTCTTGACGAGCTCTATCCTGTGCTAGCGATTGTTCATACTCTCTTGCTTGCTCTTCTCGTATTTTTTCCCTTGAATCAGATTCCGTTATGAAACACCAATTAATAATATTCACTTCAAAAATTTATGTCGTACCATCTTGTTTCATTTATAGAATATATATGGAAAGAAGCAGGCACGTGTGTTGAAATACAGTGAAAATTGCTTCACCTTTCAATGCGTTCTCTTTCTTCGGCAGCTTCAGCACTCTTGATACGCTGATACTCTTCCAATCCTTCCATCAGTTTATTGACTACTTGTTGAGGTCCATCGCATCCTGATAACAAATATATCTTCACACTCCAAATCATAATCCAAAACTTTAAAGATTTAGGTGATTGAGGGAAATTTATAAACTACCCGATATTTGAGGTGCGTAACTTACCCCAAGCAACACTTATTGGCAAGATGACACTTTTTTCTTTGATAATAACCACTAGCAGAGGAAAGCGTTCATCGGAAAATCTGAATAAAAGACTTCATTTTACAATTGATTTAATATCCGTTTAAATTCAATTCACCCCAGTAGAAATGACGCATGATATCGAGATGTTTTGAATCTACTTACAACACTTCAATTAAGATAACAGCATACAAATGAATGGTATCAAAGGACGTTGTAATAGAATTATTATGCACAATACCGAAATGTATCGAAGATATAACGAAATATAAATATACTTCTCTAGTGTTTGCCTTATATCGCGGACGTTCAACATATCGATCCATTCAAACAATTTAAGCCTATTCTCTTTTTGCGTGATATCCCAAGGCCAAGTTATAAACTGTCCTTTTAGGAGTGATGAAACCAATCCTGAACAAAGTACCTGAAAATAATGCTCTATGAAACCTCCGTCACTGCATGGATGAAACAACAAATGGAATGATTTTTTAAGAAGCAAAAAATGTATTGGGTAACTGTTCGAGGATAACTTGTTTAATCCATGCCAAACAATCAATTGCTAAATTATGAAATGCATAAAACAGGATATCTTTGGAAAGCATTTTGCTTTGCCAAAAGAAATACACAAAATAAACATTGACATTTTTCGCGAAAATATTGCACGCGACAGCACGATCATTATGTAGATAGACGGCAAGTGGTCGACGTTCCGCAACCGGCCGCGCTGGTGCCTCCAGTGCCTCACGTAAAGCATCTTGCAAAGAACCAAAATAGAAAGGTGGGTGATTTCCACCGTACCTGTTAATAAAACTATTAAATATGAATTCATATCACAAAAAATTAAATCAGTTGTGTTTTTCAGTTTATCAGAACTGATTGGTAAATTTAAGGTTTTTAAAAGATGCATTCGCATTTCGAACTCCTTATTATGTTGAAAGAATATACTACACTTTGCCAAGTTTAGCAATGCTGAGTCCAGAAGATCTGGTCGGTGTAACAAATTTAAAATGTGAAAAATAAATCTATTAATTTTCTCAATTATACATCAGCGTGTGGACAGGAGGAGTTTAACTTTATCCATTAATTGTCAAATTATCAAAACTTAGAGGATAAAATTTATAATGAAACGAACTGTAAAGCACTGACTAAAAAAATGAACACTCACCTAGCTTCAAAAACAGCCACGAAGTTGTGTAACGCCTCATCAACGGATGTAAAATCAGAAGGCACTAGTGGTACGCGATCATCATGAAACGATGTTTTCTAAAAATAGTTTTTCTTTTCCCTCATGATTATGAAAATTTCTCAAATAATCTCCAACAATTCATTTTACTTGTGTAAGGCCAGGCCTCTTAAAGCTTAACAAAATGCTCATACAGCTTCAATGTCGCTATTTCTATTTGTTAGCTTACTTTAACTGAATAGTTGGCACTAACAAATAAATATTACCAAAAGCATTTACTATTGCCATTTATATGTTAGTGCAGTGCATTCACAATTACTTTTCAGGATGAAGAAATCAAATAACTTAACCAAAATTTAAATGATCATTTAGAAAAACGATAAATTACCGCATCTTCTTCAGTCAACTGCCCAAATGGAGTAGCATCGTGGTAAGCGTCATCATCATTATTACCATCGTTATCGGTAGAATCACTATTCTCTGCATCGATAAGAAAGCTGCGTCTGGCAGGAATAGGCGAAATATCATGCTGCGATTCCTCAGTTAGATGTGAATGTGATCGTGTGGCGCGAGAACTAGAGCCACTACCCGAAGATGATGCTGTTAGCAGGACTCGACGTGGTGAAGATTCCACGACTTTCGAACCTGTAATCCTTATGTAAATAAATACTTCTAAATAAATCATTCAGTCGCTCGGTTTTCTATTTTTTAATCTAGGCTGGCTAACATTAACTGAAAAAATTACTGTAACAGTGAAGAACTCTAGTTATCTAAATTCTACAGTTACTTAATGCACTGTATTTTCTTTGTCTAGTCATCAGTGATCCAGAAAAGGTTATTGTTAACTCTTCGATAAATCATCCAAACATCACTGGAAATTTTAGCACTAGCATCGGAAGTGAAGCATCGTGTATTTAGTTTATTTATCATTTTAGGAAAAAAACCATTGTCATGAGGAGAGCCTTGATTGCTATTTGATTCTTCCAATAAGCCGCCAGCTATCAAACGCCCAAAAGAAAAATCAGGACCTTCACCTTCATTTTCCATCGAATTGTTCCCTGATCTGCAAACTAATTGCTAAATTTTATAGTGAATTCTTAGCAAAATATACCTTACTATTTTCAACTTATAATGACATATATTGACATATATTATTGCCTCACACTACAATTGGCATGAAATTGCACTCCTCTACAGGATGAATCCTAAAGTACCAATATCAATAGATAACCCTACCGATTCTCAAGTTCTTCGAGCGCTGTTCGACGTACGTGCTGGTCATTATGTTCTATTACAAGTGAATCATCAATCTCCATCGGACCTATATCATCACCATCATTACATAGTTGTGCTTCTATAGCCCTTGGTAAGTCCCAATTCAACGATGCCAATGTCGCCAATGCCATCTGTTCATCTTGAATATTTGTCACTTCCTGAAATATTTATTCCAATTCAACATTCATTAAAATAAGTTAAGTAATATAATAATATGATACCCAACAGGTTGAAAAATAGCTACAGTTAACATTATAGAAATTAACCTGGAATTGACGCAGCATATTAGCCTGGTCGCCAGTAAGTACATCAAAATCGTCCATCACTCCCTTAAAATTGTAATAAAGGATGAAAAAAAACCGATAAAGAGCAAAATTAATAACAAATAAGTGGACACAAAACGGCTAATTCGAATATAAGGTTGCCAAATATATGCAAATTTTAGCATTGAATGGAATCACAGAACTAACGTTTTGTAATTAATGGATATCGAAATATTAAAAATTAAAGGTGTATACTTCCTAGATAAGCCAGTCAACAGTGAACTTGATAACAAGTACCTAACTATGTATCCAATTCGAACCTAAGTGAAAAACAACGCTGGAATAATTCTAAACGATATGATATAAATATAGAACCGATAAACAGACTGATAGGAACTATACACTAATGTTGTGCTATGAATCCGTAGTTGATAACACTACATTGATAATGACGGATAACCACCATCCATTCGTGATTATCCTATAAATTAAAATAAGATATACACATATATATTTTACTTTAATAAAAATTTCGAAAAAATGAATGCGTATAGTAATATAAAATCACAAAAGGTAAATCCAGAAATAAAACAATGGAACAAAAAGAAAGAAAAGAAATAGGAAGCAAAAATTGACTTCAAAAATTGACAATAAAAGCCCAGCCCGCACAAGGTCAGAGTTCAAGAGACCACACCAATCGATTCGACCCTCCTAGCAGAAATGCACACGAGCATATCCACTCACGCGCAGCTCCGCGACTATCGGGCGTTGTGCAAATCGGTATCTCGTGCCATATATATCGCGTGATCACAGTGTTTGATGGATGAATCTTGGCGAATAAGTATTCCGGATCGTAGTTTATACTCCAAAATAACAGTGATGGATTTTGGAATGTTCCGATATGCTCATATATTATTGTGTTTTTTAGGTCTTCGGATTGAGAAAACACACAGTGTCAACTAAATTAATCTAATTAAGTATTATTTGTGTTCGGAAAGCTCTGTTACAGCTATATCATAGTTAATCTAAATTTTTTCATTCTCAAAGTAATAATCCGATTCGAGCTGTAATTACGAACTATTTTATCACGAAATTATCGAACGATATGACAAAAAATGTTAACCGAAGCTTATGGATGTACTGGAATTGAAACCACAATAAGATTTGATTAATATTTAACAGACAAATATATTCACAAAGCAATAAATCATTATGCTAAGCTCTGGTAATCGGAAACGGGTTTTTGCAATTACCATATAATCCCGTGAATCATATGGTGTTAATAACTAATCAACTTTCATATGATACGATTAAAATTTTCCAGATAAATTCTTAAGAAAATATGTATTAAGAGAGGCCTGTTATGTCTGGAATGTCATTCAGTCTACTATTTATGGCCATTAACAAAATGAGTGGAAGGACGTTGAATTGACACTCCACTTATATTAACAAATGCTATCAAACGACGATACCGGAAACAAGGAAAAAAGAATCGAATGATTCAAACTGTCCAACTACTTGATCATGGACAGCATGGTTCCCGGTAAATGGCACTAACAATTTATCTGTTGTATTTCGTGAGATTTGACAGAGTAACGTCTACCGGAGTTTTTATTGTAATCGTCAACAAGATACGTTAGCTGAATAAACGACAAAAATGCATGGAAGGATAAGCGATTAGTAAATTCCAATAAATTTCTTCATTTCATTTCCTCATTTTTCCAATTTCATCATATATTAATCCAGTACTGATGTTTCACGGTAAGACCTAAAAGTTCTATTTCTATTTATTAGCTTATTATTTGTTAGCCTCCTATTGTTACATTAATTACCCATTGTAATAGACAAAATTTTATAATTCTAGATAGTAGGAATGATCACACAGGAATGAAGATAACAATACATTCATCTGTAGAATGAAAACGGTCGAACAATATTTTGCAGTTATGGCGTATATTAACTACCTACCATGACGTATTTAAAGAATGAAATTTCACGACGTAAACTACATGTAAGTACACGTGAAGTAAGTCTAAGCATTCTATATAAAATGAAAATACCGCTTGGGATTTAAATTTTCATACTCGGTTGTTATAGATTGCTCTGCATCGTACTGGAATTATCGCAAAGAGTTTGAGAGAATGGATGAGATGGTTCAGTGTTTGGTTTGGTTAAGGAATTAACCCGGGCAATTAAATTAATCTTTAATTTTGGACTTTTGGACTTTTCCTGAAGTTAGACAGTTTTCTTTATAATAATAAATTCGAGATTTAATTATAAAAAGCATCGTTGCTGCTATTATTCCCTTCTTACTCTCTTTGTTTATGAATTATTATTTTTATTTCCTATTGTTTACATTTAACTAAGTCTAGGTTGTTAGAATTTTGATTTATTATAATGAAATCATGTCACTTTGAAAAATTGCTTGACTGTTTAGAGATTTTATGCAAACCATTTGCGGTCATCTTTCTGCCGCTATTGTGACATTTCAACGGAAGCTGATTGTATAATCATTGGATAATTTTATGTTATGGCAGTTTTTAGACCTCGTTATCTTATTAATTATTACTATGTATAACAGTTTTGTTATACATCTCCATGTACATGCTACCATCCTAGTTTACAAAAGCTTCTAATACGTTAAGGGAAATGGCTCCCAGGAAAGTAGCTCGTAAAGTGACACAACAACCAGTGGAAGAGCTAAAACGTCGAAATGCTGTAAAGAAGAAGGGAAGACGGGAAAAGAAGAAGGGGAAGGAAATGGTAAAATCTTCTATGTCAGAAGCCTCGGTACAGTTGGCAGGTACACAAAATGTAGTCCCAGATACGGATGAACATACCGAAGTGGAGGAACCAGCAATTTCTTCATCACATTCCTCAATGATCAATGTAAATGCGGTTTTCATTAGTATTTGTAGTCTTTGCAAATTCTGTTTGAAGCGAACGAATAACGTAAATTTGGCTTCTTAATATGTGACACTTTCGGTATCATTTATATGGAAGAGAGGAAAAGGAGAAGAGAGTATACAGTAATTATAATATTCTGTAATCAGAATATATACCTACTCTGTTTCAGCTGTCTGTAAGCCTGTTTTCCCAATGTATTGAAAAAAGACAACTAGATTACTGATAATTTAATTATCTGTTATTGAGGGTCAGCACGACAATTTGCTAGTGAACAGCAGTGGACGTGGGAAAAAGCGGAAACTTCCCTCTTTGAACAGCACTTCTTCCACAGCAAATCGTACGCTCAGTAAGTACTTTTGAATAGTTTTAAAAACTTTCTGGGACATATACGGTGAGTATACTGATAATTTTAAGAAGGACTTTTTTAAAAAAAACTGTGATCCAATACAGCTTTATTGGATGTAACTGATCAGAAATGGAGTGCAGATGCTAGGCTTAGTTTCTTTTTTGATCTAGCATTAAACGATATTTATTCCTAGATGAAAAATGTGATACGCATGAGTTGTACTGTAAAAACTAATGATTGTTTTTTTGAAAGCTTTTTTGATGGCGCGAACATAATATTACTACGAATTATCAATGATTTTGGCAGTGTTTTAGATAGTAGTGCCGGAAGTTTAACCCTTCGTCGACTGAAGAAATTTTATTTGTCGGTTGAGAATTTTTTGCCAACTGAAAAAGGTGATCGAGTATTGAGTTGTGGTGAAGGTGAACAGCTTGGACATCCGGGACGAAACACAACTCGGAAACCGCGAGCTATTAGTACGCTTCCAGAGGAGAAATTAATCGTTCAGGTGATTTAATATTCCTGTCTGCATTAAACTCTCTAGCAATAATTTGAAAGATACTATTTTTGAAATGACTGTGAAAGGAACAAAAAGCAGATTATGTTTTTTGTTTAATCGTTCTTCACAAAGATGGTATGCTTGTTTCTTTTTTCAATATAATATAGTTTCACTAATCGAAAAAATATTATTGTAGATTTATGTGGATACGAAGAATCTGTTTCTTTATTTGCTTCAAGATTGAAGGCTCTTCCCAAACTAATATTTTTTCAGTTAGTGAAATTGTATTATATTGGTCAAACTGATGACGTAGAACCATGTTTGAAGATATTGAAGATATATTTCAGGTAGTAGCAGGAGGAGTTCATTCACTGGTGTTAATGGAGGATGGTATAGTGTATGGTTGTGGGATAAATGAAAAAGGTACAGTACCAGGTGAGGGTATCGAGCCGGAGGGGTCCTCGGATAAGCTAACTCAAATTAAATTCAATGATTCGCTCATACAACGTCATGGAAAGGTTTGTATTGTTTGCATAAATAATTCAAAATCGATTTTTGAATTTGATTTCAAATATTTCGGCAAAGGAGAAGAGTGATGGGAAAAAGAACTATGAGCGATTTTTACTAGAAGATGTATTTTCAGGTAGTAATGCTTACCGCTGGTGCCAGTTTCTCGGCAGCGCTCACTGATAAAGGCAGCGTATTCGCTTGGGGTAATTTGCGGGTAATTTTTATATTGATAGCTTTTCTTAATGATGTTTTGCACTGTTCATGATGTTAGTGAAGAGTAATCATTTGTTTAAGGGTATGTCGGGTTGCATTGAAAGCCACGAAACATTGCTAGAGATGGAGAAACAACCAGTAGTCATAGTGCAATATCAACAAAAAGTCATCGTAAAGGTATCTTCTTTTGTGTATACATAAATTATGACAACTGTCTGTTTTAAAATAAGATTACATTTGCTTTCATTGGTTAATTTTAGAAAAATTTACAGATTGCAGCAGGTGAGAATCATCTAGTAATGTTAACAGAGAATGGAGAAGTGTTGACGTTTGGGGATGGATCGGTTGGCCAGTTAGGCAGATGTTCACGGGTTTCGCACATCCGCTCGCAGCGAATGGTAAACGATTCGCCGGACTCGTTGAGAATTTCAGTTTATGATAAGGGAAAAAAGAAATTGGTAATGTTTGACAATATTATGGCTGGTGGTTTTTGGACTGCTGCTCGATCCGTTGATGGTGCTATTTATGTCTGCGGATTGAACAATTTCGGACAGTTGGGTGTACCAACACCAGAAGCTCCAGAAGATGAAGGTTTGTGTTGTGTATTTTTCGTTTGGAGTTCAGCGAGGCATAAAAAATTCCTATATACCTTATTTAATCTTTGCTACACTAAGCAGACGAATTTTTGTAGGCAAGGTGCGACAATCGGATCGTGTCGAGCCCTGGCACATTTCTTTCGAAGTCAGAAAAATTGAGTTTGATATCATTCAGGAATCGGAGCGGCCAGCTTGCTATATATTATCCAAAGAGAAATCTGAGAATTCTCGCCTATTCATCAGATATATTAATTAGTTCTATGATGGATTTTATAGATAATCAACCAGAACTGAAAATAATGCATCCAGTCAAGGCGAGCGCATTCGAATGCACAAAAATTGTTGATCTGAGTGGTATCCAGCATATTGTTGCTCTGAATGCACAAGGTAAAAACTCCTCATCGTTCTAAACCTAAGAATTTTCTCCATATATTTTCATTTGTGCTTACTAGTGCCATTCCATTTCTACATTTTCAAGTTGATTTCCAACGTTTCTGCTGCTAAAAGTATTTAATGACTTATTGAAATGTTTTTAACACAACTATTTGGTACGCAAAAACAAAAACAAATTTAAAAAAAAAATTTAAAAACAAATTTTGTTAGGCGAAATATGCGGCATTGGGAAGAACACGGACAACGCGCTTGGATTGGGCACATGGAGTGGTAAGGAAGATGACCACTGGAAATATTCGGAACTACAGAAGATCGATATACCAGAGCCGATCAAAGGAATATCGGCTAGCCTTGGTTGCTCGATTGTTTGGACTGATAATGGTAAGTTTTGCATTGTCGCTATCTGTCAACAAAGTTGTTCATCACAGGAATAGAAGTTCTTGGGCAGGTATTGTAAACAGCAGAATGCTTCGTAATAGGCACAGGTTTATCAGAGTACGATTTCTTGAACCTATACAGTTGGGAGAAAATGCTTGCTCTTTTAGGAAATGCCTACTCTTGGGGTTATGATTCTTCCGGTCAGCTTGGTTTGGGAATCAAAGATGATGATGAGAAGATGGTTCCACGACCGCAGAAGATTACTTCGGCACATCTTGATGGTTACCGCATCGTTGGAGTATCTTTGGCGGACAATCATGCTCTTTTCCTTGCTAAAAAATTATGAATAATAAATAGCATACATTTATTCCTAAAATTAATTTTACTTAAACGTGTATCGTAATGTTACGTGTTATTGGGTCGAATTAAGATGAGCTAAGACATTATGAAATTGAAACTCATTTTGTTTTTGATATCATTTCCCGGTGGGTTAACCCCACTTTTGCATTACTTGTTATTTGTTCCTTAGGCATTGGATTATTTGCCACTGTTTGAATTATCACGTTAGTAAAAGTAGTTTTTCTCAGTTAGATGATTTTCTAAAATTGTTTGACATTGCTTCATGCTTTTAAAACTGTTTGATGTTCTGCCTAATTCTTCCTTGTTCTAATTATGACGTGATGTATGCGCGATTTTCACGAATGACTGCATTTTAGTTTTTCACTTATTTCTTTCCAAGCACTGCTGTACTTTAGTTATTCGTATATTTTTAAGCGCATATACTTGCTCGCCGGCATTGTGCGAAATTTTCATGTTACATTCTATCATTCGTTGTGCAGCTGGCGATAGAAAAAAATAATATCACTAGAGTTTATTTCCATTTCATGGAAAGAAATAATGTGAGTATGACTAGTGTTGTCTTTCAGTATATTTCCATTTATTTTATGAATGAATTAAGTGGTATCTTATCGTATCTTAAGTTTTGTAGAAGTTTGTTACTGTGCGGCATATTGCCATAGAGAATGATTAGGAATCTATCGAGACAAAAGGGGAAAATTTTTCGTCATATGTCGCCTCGCGGTTCGGACTTCATTTTCATTCCTCATTCACTCACTGCATCAATAACATTTCCGAAGTTTTAACTGACGATTCCTGTGAATGATTACACATAACAACAGGTAGAATGCAACTGGTGATATCAGATTATTCTTTATAAAAATTGATCAAAATGAATAAGAAACATAGTAGCAAGATTGTAGCAACTTGCAATATAAAAATGCGGTTGATAAAAACTGGTATATTATATGAAGTAGTTGCGTTAAAGTGATATATTGTGCAGTAAAAGTGGTTGAAGTATTAGCATATGCATAGCTACAATTGCAAAAATATATTAATATGACAAAAATGATGACAAAAATAACACGTCTTAGCATTATATCGGCCGTTCAATAAAAGAAATTTGCTTGCAAAACTGGTACGTCCAGCGCGGTTATAGTATAATAGGACTAAATTTCATTAATGATGTCGTTTCTTAATCAAAAACCAATATGAATATGAATTTTGTGTGCAAAAAAGTATCTTGAGCTCAAGAGACAAAACGGCATATGGGAAAGAATCGTAAATCTCAACATAAAGGAATGGAGGATCTTCGTTCTACACTGTCACAATATGTTTGCAATTGTGATTCCTCCGTTCGTTGGCATCTGATATTATGCCGTGAAACATTTTATTTTCTCTTGAGAAATTTAGCTGTTGGTTTTTCATACTTACTGTCCAAATCTCAAAATATGGTAAAATTATGATGGACAAAAGAATAATAGAGTGTAGATAATACCTTATTTTATATATATATATATGATGCCAACCACAGAAGGCATTCATGTGTAGTTGAAAGGAAATTTGGAGGGTTCTCTTGAATAGATCAATAAAAACAATGGATACATGAAAAAACATATACATTTCATACAGATTTATAAAAATTACAAATATGAAGGCCATAAATTTATTAAAATGTAACGAAGAGGTAACAAAAGCCCAACATTTCTATTCAAGTTAAGACCACTGCCCTTCCATCTCCACAATGGTTTAAAATTTAAAATCAGTTATTTCCAGCCAAAATTCAAATTGAAACAATTGCGGCTAGGATGTCATGATAAGATCAATACGTGGGCCTCTGCGATTATAATTGCAAAAAAGACATGCTGCAAAAGCAAGACCAAAATGAGAAACGAAAAAAAGCGTAAATTAGTAAACCACACAAGGAAATTAAAAATGTTCAACTTTATACAGAGCAAAAAATAATGCCTTACGAAAGAAGGATAAAATTTCAACTGGACTGAGTCGTACCCGCCTCCACAGAAGGAAGATCATTAAATGCGTTGATATCCATTCCTGTCTTTACATTAAGCACTTACCGTTTGTCAGGACCGGATACTGACTGATTATTTTACAATTCGCTCAGATTCCGTCGAGCCTAAAATTTGCGAATCAATTGTTATATAAAGTTTTCCCTCACAAGCCCCTAAAAATGCGTAGTCCATGAAGACTGAGAATAAGTGCTCCATGTAACATAATATTTAGTGAAAATGTGATGCAAATACTTACAGAAATACCGATAAGGGCAACCGAATTGGGTGCAAGCTCCTTGGCAGGATCAGTGAAACGAAACACACCATACGTTTTATTATTATTTCGAGGCCTCAGTTCATAAACTGATGACGGCAGATGAACTTTAACTCCTGAGCATGCATACGGCTTATTGCGTATTCTGGAATAATTTTTCATTATTAAATTATTTATTTCTCGCAAAACTTTAGTAAATACATGATTTATTAAAAAAATATGCTAGTAAGCTAGAAAAACATTACTTTCTTGCAGCTTTATTGAATCCTATTTTCTTTAAAACAAGAAAAAACTTACGCGGTAAGTTTTCGTGACGATTTGCATTTCGTCAAAGGTCTATTATTTGCTGTAGAAGGCGTTGCAGATATCGTAATTCGTGAGATCTGAATATATTCTAAGATATAAATACTCTATTATCTGGGAATGTGATCGTACTCTGATCTGATTTAACATTTTTCTTCTCATCAACGACTACTATAACAACTAAAATATATATATAACTTCTTGAAGCGTTCCTACTTACATATGGAACAACATTTGCATTTCAAACCGTAAAGTATTCCATGATAAATTCGCATCTGCAACACTACTCTCTTTCTATATCTTTTGTGTATATAACAATATAGAAGTCCACTAGAAATATTCATTTGCACATTCCGATATTTCTTTCATACTCCGATATCACAGTGATGAAAATTACCGGTGGTGGTATGTTGATATCGCCATAGTTCCGTAAAAGACGTCTTACCGTTGTGTTACCGTTGGTCGACAGCGGTTTAACGGGAGTTGTAGGTGATGTGAATTTTGCATGTGATATCGTAGTCCGCTGTGCTTTAGCTTTCTGTACCAGCAGATGATCACCCTGACTTGGCTTTTCTCCTTTTTTTTCACCGCACTCCTTTCCTATCATTTCCTCCAGCTGCAAAATATAGAATAAGTATAATATAGAATAAGTATAAAAATTTAAATATAAAACCTCATTGTTTTTTCTGGGCGAAGCTTTCAGTGAGACAAGCCGAGACGTTGGCAGTACTATTCCTTTTGACGAATCTTCAATACGAATTTCATTGACCTGAAAAATTTCGAAGATAATCCAAATAATTCTTAATAGACCAAAGCTACGTCATTCTTTGATCTGAATGTTGAACTTAGAATAAGTCTCTGCCTAGCAAACCTTATTAGTCAATTGCGAAAGATGAGTGGAAGCAGGTTTCGAACCCATTGCCCAACACCATGGCTGCTTTTCAATAAGGAACTCTTGTTGTGGTCCAATCACTGAACCAGGCCTGCAAATCCGTAACCACGCTATTGATTCGGCTGCCGTCACGCCATACTCTTTCATCAACCAACAAGCTATTAACGTTCCAGTTCGACCTAACCCTGCCTGAAATTTGATACAAAGAATAAGTACTTCTTGAAATAATGCAACCCATAACAAATGATTTAAATGGTTCAAATACCTTGCAGTGAACGGCCACGCCTCCTCTGGCGCTATCAACAACATTAATAAACCGTTCGACGATTTCATCGGATGGCACCGAACCGTCAACGAAAAAGAGATCTACATGCTCGAAACCTGCGTCCAAAAACCTGCAAAAAAACTTCACTGGAAAATACTCTAAAAACTGGAATCAAGAATAACGTCGTCATTTTTTTTTGCATATCCTAGCAATGATACAACAAAAACAAACCTTTTGGCATCATACATACGCTTGTTGAGCCGTATAATGGTCGAAATATTATGTGTGCGGAAATAATCAAAATACACTTCCGGTGCGTGGTATGGATAACCTAAAATTTCTCGATATTTGAATTTTTTTCTCATTGCTGTCCATACCGATAGCTCTTCTGCGTTTAATGACTATAATTAAATGATTACAAAAGTCTTAATTTTCAAATGGAATTGAAAAATTCGAAAAAGACCTGGATACTAACCATTCTCAACAACTGATTTGTTGTGCGGCCCACAGAAGCTGAGTACTTTGGTCGGTATAATCCAGTTCAGATCGCCATTCTCGACCTTCTCGTAATATTCATATTCGTCCGGGTCGAAAGTATCAAATGCCAGCCAACCGAATTTCACCGCCTGCAATTAACTAAATATGTATTGCCACAAGCGAATAATTAATTCCACATTTTTCTTTTCGCATTACCATATCAATCGTAATTATTTGAGCATTATGTTAATGTTAAAATATCTTAGTTTTCAGAAGGATGCACCTGATATTATTCAAAACAAAACGTAAATGAATCATCTATCAAACCTCCCTGTTACTTTTAATTTATCTCTTCATCTCTAGTATAATGTACACCCTTTCAAAGTTCTAACAAATGACCGATGTACTGCATTTTAAGATAAGAAAAAACGAAATACCTCTCTACCTTTATCGAGGACATCTATAACTGCTTGTTAGATTTTTTCAAATGTAATAAATGCCTTTTATGCTAGTAAAACTTTTCAGTTGGTAGTAATTATGTTACTTCAATTTGTACTGCTGGTGCACTGTATGTCAGTTGGGAAGTACTGATAAGTATTAGAATTGCTCTCGATGTTTGCACTATTATGCAGCAGATTGGTTATCGGTATGTTAATATATTAAGCTATTGAGCGGTAGCAATTTGGATGCTAATTTGTCCTGCCGCCGATTAATAATATATTTGTGCTCTGAATGGCTTTCTGTATTTATGAATTTTGGTAAGAAAGTCACACTAGCAGTTTCCGTTGCAAAGTTTTTGCAAATAAAATATTGTTGCAACTTTGTGGGAAAAATCTATCGATGCAATTATTTTTCTTTTTAAATTTCTCTACTCTAAAAATGAAATTGAATCACCAGTACAGTGCTGCTGACTACTAATTAGTCGTAAACCTAGGGTTATTACTGAAACTATGTCTTTTTAAATTTCTCTACCCTAAAAATGAAATTGAACCATCAGTAGCGTTGGTGACTAGTATTAATCGTTAACCTAAGCTTATTACTGAGCGCTCTTACCTTCTCAATACTGCGAAGTACATTATGAAGATGCAATCTGTAAGTTGCTGGACCCATTGCTGCATCCCGAAACCCGATAAACCCATTTGGTTCCGCTTTGTGTATGCGCAAATATGCTATTTCGGCTGTCATTCCCAAGTAGAGAATCTGGAAAAATAGCTTACTAAACGGAGCGATTACCCTCCAATAATCTTTCTTCACATGTTTTTATTGTTTACAAAATACACAAGGCAAATTTATTTTGATTAACTTCTTTTCTGTTATTCGTTCCTTCTATGTTATTTTTCGTATTTTTCCTCCTGTATCTTATATTTGTATTTCGTTCTTTCTCTTCTTGATTCACATTAAGTGTCTGTCTTGTTTTGATTTAAATTACTTCTTGCTTTTTTTTTCTAAAAATTGTATGTCTCATTAAGGGACCATAAGACTAGAAGCTTCAGTCAGCCTATGAATTCTCGATTGATAGGGTAATTACGTTGCACAAAAAGTAAGAATTAAAAGTGAGAACGTACCGCATAAGAACCCACTAAATAAGCTGTATTTACCCGACATTCGTCGGCAGATCCGCAGCATACCACAACAGATTTTTCACCATCCAACTCCTATATTCAAAGAAAAAAGTGTTTAGAAAATAATGCTTATGGTAAATAAATGTGGTAAAATAAAACGCCTATTGTCCTGGCATTTAACTCTCTTTTACCACTGTCAAATGATCTTACACATAAAATTATCTTACGTTGTCTTAAGATAGGAATCTTGTCGAAACCTGTCATTCCGGAGAACTTATAACAGATAATTTTTTGATGAATAGCTTTATTACTCTTAAACATACCTCTAATTTTTCCGTGAGATTTTGACAAAATCGGTAAAGGACCGATAGATTTAATGGTCCAAAATCGGAGTAGAAACTGTCATAATGCACTTCGTCATCGACATAATAATAATCCGTAGAACGGTCTGATTTTGGTCGAGTTTGAAATGCACAGAAAAAGAGTTTTTTCGGAATAATTTCTGCTATCCGTCCATGCAAATTACCGCTTTGTATGAGCGGTTCTCGGGCCATCTGTGTTATGCTATAATGATGGCTTCTTTTAGCAAATGTTTGATAGATCCTCAAATGCCTGCCAGATTCTTTAAATGCTTGCCAGATTTACAGTTCATAATTTATGACTGGCCATTGTCATTTTTTCTTTACTGATTGTTCTGTGGCACACCGGAATGGTTCCTCTTTACTGAAACTCGATTACGTTAGAAATATGTAAGTGATGCTTTTTTACGAAATCTTGCCATATGTTTTATAAAAAAATTAGGAGCTTTAAGGTGATAAATACGTTTACGCGACGGTATTGAGGGATCCATCTTGCTACACACAGAAAAATAATGTAATTTTACAATTCCGATAATTCCTGATATTTTACTACAAGTCCATGAGATTTAATCTTGCGTGTTCCATGCAGAAATGAAGCTAATATCGGAAACTCATAAAAGTTTTACCACTTGGAATATTAAATATTATCCTATCCAAAAATAGCGTAACTTAACCATGAAAATCTCGTTGTACGTTACATTCCGAGCTTACACTTCTCTAATACTTCTTTATCTTAAATTCATATATGATAAATGATTCAAATTAATTAAGAATCCAGCAACCCTGAAAACACGTATATTCCAAAAAAAAACCACGTCCTCTAAAAAATAATCAAACTCCCTACATCCAACAAACAAAAACAAACAAAACCTCACCATATGAAACAAATTATATAATAAACTATAAATAAAACCAACAAATGTACAAATAAAAATAAACAAACTCAAAGCCATAAATGAAAAGAGTATTCAAAAAATCATTTAATCTCTAATAAAAAACCCAGCATACGGTAAAAAAAATACCAATCAAACTAAAAAAAATATAAATGAAAAATGCAAAAAAAAACTAAAAGACAAAATTTGCTAGTAGACAACAAGCTATACTAAAAACATATTAAATCTTTAAAACAAAATGATATCAATCAAAACGTCCCGAACGCTCAATTTAAAAAATTTCAACTAATTCAGTCAAAGTTAAAAACCTAAAAAATCCAACAAAAGTTTTCAACTTAAGAAAATAACTCAAGTTCATAAAGAAAAGAAAAAGAAAGAAACCACATTACAATAATATCGTTCTATATAATAACTAACAACTATATAAAAAAAGAAAGAAAAAGCGCATTATAAAAATCTCCGCGAGTCGAAATAAAAAAAATAATCAATTCTAAAACAGAAATTAAAACAATAGGAAGAAAATAATACTAAAACTAACACACATTCTCCTAATAATATCAAACACGTATTCATACGATCTTAACTTATCAATATGGTAATTCTTATAGAAAAATACTAAAGGTATAAAATGCATAACAAAAGGCGCCAAAAAAGAAAAAATGAAAAAATAAAATTAAAAAAAGGATAAATCCATTTAAAAAAATCATAAATATTAATGTCATAACTTCCCTTTCGTACTACTCTAACATACATAAAGGACAAGATAAACCACTTTGTCCCACAACAAAAAACTAATATCATTAATAGACACATAAACAAATTAATATCATGTTCAATTTTTATACTGTGTTTGAGTTAAAACATCAGTTGAATTCTCCAATAGAATGTCTAATTAAAATGTTTATGAATTGATTGAATTAAATCCATTTTCATTTCCTTCAATCCGATTCATTTCCTTTAATGTTACACTACCGTACTGAAACCATTTAAGTAGCGTACTCCTGCTAAGTACCATACCTTCATGCATTAAACCAAATAAGAACATACCAAAAGCGAAAAGTCAATTCACACTCACTGTTTACAATATCCATCCATCAATTAACAAAGCTATGCGTCGCAACCCACCGATCCCACTACCGTCCCGCATTCTCCTCCTCCAATGTCCTTTCAATAATCTCGCTATGTGCCTCAAAATAGGGCCCTTGATGAAACTACGCATCCTGCATAGTTTCTCGTAATTATCTTTTGGTAGAAGGCCACTATGAGTTTGGAAGGTTTCCCCTTAAGGATATTTTGTCAGAAATTCTTTTTTGTGATTTTTTTACTTTATATAAGCTCAATATCAAAGAAAATATGATAAAGCATATAGTAGAATGGACGATTTTCCGAATACTTCTCTTAATACCTTTGATTAAACCAGAAGCTTTTTCGCGATTCTGCAATAGAGAAATTTTTGACGATTAGGACAAAGAAATGATACAATTTTTCAGAGTTTTTTTTCGTTTAAATGGAATGTTGACGAGTAGGTTAGAGGGTAAACGACGATGGGAAGCTGTGAGCCTGAAAACGTTGGTTTCGTTGAACCAGATGCGGAATTTGCTGAGGATGATTTGTTCGGTTTGGATGATATGAGCGAGGCTAATTTGAACAGTAAGTTTTTATTTGAACGAAAAAAGTTATCAAGATTAGACTGAAAATATTAAAAGTTTTAGTTTGAGAGGTAAGTTACAGCATGGACAAAAGTTATAATAATGAATAATTTGTTTCGGCTCACAAGAGTTATATAAATAAGTTTTCTTAAACTGGAAAAGTTTTGCCAGAAAGAATAGGTTTCTGTCCACTTCGATTTCTTTGTTTTTCTTTTCGTTAGCATATATTTATATAATATTCATGTTGTTATTGGTACTATCGATTAATAACAGTGTAAAAGATCTAATTTTTGATTAGTAATACTGATTATTAAATCATCTTACACTGAGTAAATCAAATTATTCTTTCGAATTGCATAAATTATTCTATTGGTTAATTGGTAGATTATGCTGGAAATATATGTAGAATTCATTTTGAATTCTCTGCTATGGAAAGGATATAGTTAATAAATTTGTGTAATCCTGCTATGTCAAAGTTTCTTTTACAGAGGAATTAGACTTGTCTGACTCGATTCTCACCACATCTTCTTTTCTGGAGCGCGATAATTTCGAGAAAGAACTTGGTTGTTCAGCAGATGACCCGTTTGCAGAAGACTTCACTGATATAAGCCAACACGAGATTGTGAATGTGATCGCCGACGGTGATTGGGTAGGAAGGTGCATATCACTTTTTTTTCGCACGTAATTTTATTACTACATGCTCTTTTCGCGCAAGTATCAGTTTTTAGACCGATTGTGGTAGTCTACGCTTATCGGCTTCCTTCAAATAAAACGTTTGACCACACGAAATTTCTACGGTAATTTTTTCACGTTTTTAAAATAGTCAGTTGTGACCGGATTATTTTTTCTTTTCTGAAATCATCATTTCTGTTCAGGTAACTTCTCGTTGTTGAAGCCATCGTTTCTGATCAGATAATTTCTTTTTAATTGTTTATATTTTTTTTCTTAACCACATTTTTTTCAAGAGAATATGACAAGAACTTCATGAATAGCTGAAGATGCAGAAATTACTGATTTCTCTGTAATATGATATCAGAACATGGTTATCTCAAATGTAAAAAATGTTGGTTGCAGATTTTTGCAGTTTACGCTGGATAAATTAGTCGAGTTAGATTATACTATTTTGTATTTCCACTATGGATTGCGAAGCAATAACAAACCATCCTTAAAATGGCTCCTTCAAGCATACTTCATTCTAGACAGGAAGTGAGTTTTTTCTTTACAGGTTAAGGGAGATTATTACAAACACATATTTATGCTTCTTTTCTAGAAGATATCGAACTGAAATTTTATATTTTTTGACGCAGTTGGTTGATTTTCTGACTGAATGAATGTAAGATTCGATGTAAATGATTTTTTGTGTATATTTCTTATATTCAAAATGATCTATTTTATGAGTTTTGTACAGATATAAGAAGAACTTGAAAGCGCTTTATTTGGTTCATCCAACACGATTCATTCGCATTATTTGGAACATCTTCAAACCATTTTTATCTATTAAATTTGAGCGAAAAATTCATTATGTCAATAACGTTCATGAACTGGATTCGGTTCTACGCGTGGAGCAACTTAATCTTCCTCAGCCTATCAAAGAGTGCCTTTTCTGTAGCCCTCGAAGTTTTAAAATGTTAATAAATAACAATGAGGATTAGATGGTTACGCTTTTTCTTTCAAAAATTATTATCGGCTGAAAGAAAAAAAATGATTGTTGATTGATCATTTTCCAAACTACTATTCTAATTCTATTCTTTTAGCCACGACTCATCACTACTTCTAGCCTCACGCATTACCCTCGATAAATCGCAATTAAGCAGAAGTTCGTGCCCAACACCGCGCCCAACCCAACAGTTTAATGTTCCATTAGAATTGTAAGTTGTTTAAAATATACGTGAAATGGTAAAAGCGTTCTCATAATAGTCCTGGCCTTACAAGTAGTCCTATTATCTTGTTATGATGGCACTGCTAAACTTTTGGAATATCGAAAGCACTGATTATGTTTCAAGTAGATGTGCGAGGGTATTAACATTATGAGAATGAATTGATTCTATGAATGGAATTTTGTAGCATATTATCACACAATCCGGACTGTGATGTACCTCCTGTGGTCACTGATCTCATAGCATTTCTGCGCGAAAATTCGTTAAATGTTGTTGGATTGTTCAGGCGATCTGCTGAAGTTAATTCGATTCGAAGATTGCAAGAACGTATTGATAGGGGTTCGTATGTTCTCCTAATCATGTTTGGAATTGTGCAATGAACTGCTTGTGATCAAAATTAAAAATTTTACTAAACTGGACATATGCTTATTTTTGTCTGCTGACGATCTTTCCTTTTAGATATCCTTTAACTATTGACTTATCATCTGTGAAATTATTTTCAGGTGAACAAATAGATTTTTTGAATGAAGAACTGTATAAGGATAATTTGCAAGCGGCATCTGTCGATGCTTCGGTCTTGCTTAAGACATTTTTACGTTCACTTGGTGAGCCGATTACTACTAATGCACTATACCCCAAACTTGCTGCTCTCTCAGGTACTACCAACCTTTGACTAATTACTGACCAGTGTAGGTATACAGTTAAAGAGTGCTGTAAATTTTCTTGTAAGTAATATCGTCGATATAAAGACATTTAGAAAATCTGAACGGATTAAA